TAGCTTCAACTGGCCTACAACAAACATTCAAACCAAACCCCTCACCATGCAGGTGGTTTAAATAAGATTCTGTAAAGCCAGCACTCCTACAGGGAGACGGGAAGCAGAAACAGGGTAATCCTGGACACTTGCCGGCCAGCTAGCCTGGATGCAAACAATAAGTCACAAACAAGGGGTGGAGGAGAGGACCAGCATCCAAGATTGTCCTTGGATCTCTACACATATACCATGGATGATGCACACCCACAATCACACACATGAACACATATTCACACACATGAACACATCAGCATACACCATCACACACCAGACATAAGTGTGCCCCACACACACACACATGCATGAACACACATGGACATACACACACATAAACACAAATGTAATCACACAGGAGCACATATGCACCTACAACCACACACATGAACACATGTGCACAATTACACATTGCATGCATAAATATACAAAAAAAGACTCTTTTAAAGTACCTTATCAAAGCCAGTGCCATGTTCCTTACTCTGCAATGTCTGACTGAGCTGAAGAAAACACTCGGTGAAAGAACACTCACCACACATGCACAGGGCCCTGGGTTCCACCCCCAGCACCAGACGAAACAAAGCACAACTGTTCATCACTAGTGAAACACTCAGGCAAGCATGGAGTAAGACTGTTCATCCTAAACCTCAGAAAGGTCAGTGCTTAATGACAAAGATGACTGAAAGAACCAAGTCGAGAAATGAAACATCAAATGCATCTTAGAAACCTAAATTTAGCATCATTTCACAAGCCCCATCAGCTTTCCAGAATGTCTCATTAGTGCTAATTGGGACTCTGACCACTACAGTTTTAGCTGCACTTGATTTTAAATGCCAGTGGGCTTGATTATTGTGCACAAAAAGAATTATGTCAAAAAAAAAACATTTTGAAGTCGGGAGCGTAGCTCACATGTTAGAGTCCTTGACTACATGCATGAAGTCTTGAGTTAAGTTCCCGGCACCACATACGTTGGGTGTGATGATTTACTTACACCTTTAATGGAGGTGAAGGCAAAGCCATCTTCATTCACACTGCAAGCTCTAGTTGCAGACCAGCCTGGGCTCCATGAAACCCCCATCTCAAAATAATAGTAATAATCTCAGCTGGAGATGTGCTCAGCAGTTTCAGAGGACCCCGGCTTGATTCACAGCACTCACGCTGGGCCACTCACAATCACGTGGAACTCCGGTTCCCGTGAAATCAAGTCCCCTCTTCCGACCTCCACAGGCACCCAGCATGTTCCTGGTACTTACATACAAGCAGTCAAAACACTTTTTTTAAAAAAAAGCATAATGGTAATGATAATAAGTTGGTTCAGCTCTACATTTTGAAGATGACTCTTCAAACCTGCGGGGGGCACAGTTGCTCTGTAGGATTTGCCCACTTAACCCATACTAACTTATCCTAATAAAAGCATGTATGTGGGCCCATGAACTAACTGCTGGGAAAGACCCAGGTGAACTATACTTTGTTGTTAAATTCTATTTGCATCATTCTTTCTGTGATGTCTGGTAATAAGAACCCAAACTCTGGTCCAGATCTGAATCACTTTCAGACCTCTAAGGGATGGATCACCCAATCAACTAGCACTGTGTGTTTTTTTTTGTTTTGTTTTGTTTTGTTTTGTTTTTTTAAGATAACCCTGAAAAGTGGACCAAGAAGACAAAGCGTTCTGGAGGAAAAGAGCAAAGTCCTGGAATGAATGTGTGACTTGAAAATGTAAACTGTTCCTCCTCAGCTTGGATCTGTAGACCGTCTCAAAAAGGGATGTTTTTACAGCCACAGCAGAAACATGACTGGCTACGCCTCCATTTGTTTGTCTTTTGCAAAACGAATGTGACTTGCTGGGGTTCCAGCCTCGGGAGAAAGTGACGGTGCTGGTGGTTACTTTCTGAAGTGAAACTTCAAACCACTATCTCCGGTGCACAAAAGGCACAGTGAGTCACAGGAAGAGGCCACTTGCTTGCAAAAAGAAACTCATTAAAAGTAATGCAGGCTGAACGGACTTCCTGCACCAGTCAACAGATCCCTGGCACCGGGACCATCTCAGGAAGGAAGGGACCATTAGGAATCTGGGCACATCCACCATAGCCCTGTTCCCTGAGCTCTCACTCTGGCTAGGTTGCCAGGCCTGTGGCTCCCATCTGAGATGCCCCTGGAAGGCAGATGTCACTGGATGTCTCCTGCCACAGGGTCACAAGGACACCCCGTGACTTAAGCGAGTACCTGTGGCTGGATCTCCAAGGTCCTCTCTAGGAAGAGGTGAGATTTTCTTTTGCACCCGGCTTGAACAGGGTGGGGTGGAGCCGAAGTGAGTCCTTGGTGGACAGCATTCCTGAGGTAGCTGGATGAAAGGCAGATGTGTGCACAGGCCTGGGCTGCATTATCTTCACCATGTGAATACATCTAAAACCCCACAAAGGACTTATTAAAATGTATCGCAGAGGCCCATGCCCAGTTATAGGTCAGTAGGACTAGGTAAGATTCCCCAACATGTGTGTTTTTAACAAACTCCCTGATGCTCCAGGGCTAAACCAGACTTAGAGAACTACAAAGAATGTGTTTTAAATCTAAACAGACACACTGCTCAGCCTCCAACGTCCATGAAGAATTTGGGCCTTAAGTTGAGCTAATCTGAGGGACATCGATATTTGCAGTCCCCTGAAGAAACTCTCCTGCCCCTATACAAGTCCAGTCCACAACCTGGCTGCTCTCCAAGCTACATGTAAGGAGGGGCCTTTCGGTCAGAACAGAGGCTGCTTTGCAAGGCTATTTGGCCAAACCAGAACCAACTGTGCCCCCCGGTGGCCACTGGCTTCCACTGACTTCCAGGGTCATCCTCATTCATACTCTGCTTTCCTTGGGGACCAAGCCCGACTTGTACCTTAAGTGACAGCAGTTGTCATCTTTGATGCTACAGGATTGAAAGAGGGGTGACAATTGTATCAGCCTTGCTAGAGATGTAGGACAAGTCCTTGCCTAGCATGCATGAAGCCCTGGGTCCAATTCCCAGTACCAAATAAGCCCATCATAGTAGCACAGACCTGTGACCCCAGCAACTTGATGGCTAGAGAGATAACGATCAAAATTCAAAGTCATCCTTGGCTATAAATTGAGTTCCAGGCCATCCTCATGGGACCTTGTCTTTAAAATAAATGGGCACTGACGGATAAGCACTTGTCTCATAGTGAGAGGACCAGCATTCAGATCCCCAGAACCAACGCAAAAAAAAAAAAAAATCCAGGCAGATCCGGTGGCTGCCTGTAATCCCTACAATTCACAAGGCAGGCATGGGATCCAGGTGCAAACTCTAGAAAAAGGAGAAATCCCAGGGGGCTTCTGCCTCTCCTAGGTTTAAGGGAATGGGCTCAGTGCGTTTCACACTCCAGGGTCATGATGACAGAAGATACAAAGTGAGGTGGGCGAGCAAGGGGAGGGGGGGACACAGCTCTCAGCTCTGATACTGGGACTTCAGGCCTGCTGAGGTACGGTTAGTGCCGGAACCTGCTCATTTCAAAGTGGGCCTCTAACAGTCCACAACTGCACATTATCTTTCACAAAAGGGCACTCTGTGGCCCAAAGAAGATAGCTAAGACCTGCCATCTATGTTCCTGGCCCCTAATGTAAAACAGAGGCCTGTTACTCTTTGAAACCAAAGCACCAAGCACTTCAAATGTGCGCATGATCTCAGCTCATCATGGGAAAGCCTAAGCATCCGAAATAGTTGTCTGCATGGGGGTGTGGGCTGTGGGACAACAGGAGAGCCTCGGGTGCCACTGTAGGGGTGATGTGTCAAAGGGAAAAGAGAACACATAAATGAATAGCCTAGAGACACGTTTATCCTGGTTTTTATTTCTGGTAGGAGCGTAGGCATTGCAGTTGGGTAGAACGCATGTGTGGAGATGGAGCATTTATTCTGCTGTGTAAGATGCATTGTGCCTACAGGCACCCACGTGGTTGTTGGGATGTGGACTTCATGAGGTATTCAGCTTCAGTTTCTATTCAGCAGCACCTTTAACATTTGGGGACATCCTCTTCTATTTACTCCATGAACACATAAAAGCCAAAGCAGCAATTTATGGGAAGCCTCTGGCCATTACAAGTGCACCATGTTGATAGGACTGTCCCCTGCTTAAATGATTGAGCTGGCCAAGGGCTGTGATGGATCCCTTCGAAATGAAAGACAAACTAAGGACAAATGTCTAAGAGAGGAGGGCACCCCGCATGGTAAACAGTGACTAGGGGGTGGGGACCTTTGGGACACTGCATACTGAGCCTTCTCTGAGCTTGCTGGCTTCTCAGAAGTCCCTCCAGACCAAGGAAGAGGCTGCTTATTCCAAACAGGTCTCTCAACCTGATGACCCAATGCAGGCTGTGCAGGACCACATGTTTCCTCCTCTTCCATGGGAAGAATACATCCATGTCTCTCCTACCCATCTCGGGGATAAACACAGTTGCCTTGATAATCCACATGAACTCAACGGAAAACATGCTGATTCCCACAGTGAACGGTTTGGAAGCTTAAGCATTCCTCCATGTGTGTTCCCGTCCATTTGTGTACAGGATCCTAGATGGGCCTTGCACACCAATGCATGTAGAAGCTGGGACCTTAGGTATTGCCCACCTCAGGGACAGTCTACTGTGTTTACTGAGACAGGGCCTCTCATTGGGATTCCAGTCTGTCCAGCCAGGGCCAGAGACCCACCCATCCTCACCTACCCCAGTACTGGGATTACAAATGCACACTTCCCCATTTGGCTTCATACATGGATGGTAGGGATAGAACTTGAATGTTCACGCTTGCATGGCAAGTACTTTACCACCTGAACCATCTCCCTGACAAGGGTTTTTTTTTTCCAAGTTAAGGACTAAGTATTGTATATGATAAAACACAAGAAAAATAAATAAATAAATAAATAAATAAAAGCACCTTAAGAACATACAAAACAATTTGAAATCCATGTGCCTGATTTTCTGAAGTCCTTCATCCATTTCGTTTATTACAGACATTTCTAGTTCTGCAGCGAGCACAACACGATGAAATATTACATTGATTTTCATCACTGCACCGGCATTCACAAACACACAGCCAATGCTGTAAATACAACACACTGAAGTAGTGATCCAAACCTGAGACCCAAAGGGGAATTCTCTGCGAAAATAGAAGCATGTCTCTGCAATGTGCCCGGGGTATTCTCCACCCTGTGTGACCAACATTTGAGGACTTGTCACTATGGAATGAGTCACTCATTTCCACGAGCAACTTTGAAATGTGTGGTACTCATATAGTATTTCAGCATGTGACCCTGGGGCCACTGGGTTACAGTGCATATGCAGATAAGCCAACTTGAGTGAGCCTGGGCACAGCTCACATTCGGCTCGTGCATGGGAAACTCCCTGAAGGTGTTTGCTCACACCACTAACTGGACGGAGCTCAGGAAGGATTTCAGAGTATGGTTTTTGTGGAAGGTGTGCTCTAATTCATGATGGAGTGATGGGGAGGTTTATGGTATTTCAAAACTAGATTCCCAAGTCAGTAGAGAGGATTGCTGTGTGTTTGAGACCATGTGTTGCAGATCAGCCTTGGTTATATAAATAGATCCTGACTCCAGCCATTGTAAGCTCTCAGAAAACAGAGGACTGCAGAGGGCAGGTGAAGGGAGATTCCAAAGCTTCTCCCAGGAGAGGCCCACGAGCCTCTGCAGATCAATGAGTTCGTCTCAGTCCATGGCGATCCAAATGCACTCAAAACACTCCAGTGGCAGGACTAATGTGGCCTCTGAAGGTCACTAGAGGACACGCATGAGCTCACTGCGACAGGACTATGCTTACTTCCTTCCTTCGCTCCCGGAAGGAACCTGCACACTCAAGTCCATGTTCCTCCATCCACCTACGGCCCACAGCAGGTGTGCTTTTCTTGTCCATTCCTATGACCTATGTGAACCACATCCGACCTTAACAGAACCCAACAACTACAACAGCAGCAATGACACTAGGTTTTCTTTCACAGAAAGAGTAACAATCCATTCTGGGTTTTTTTTTCACCCTCTTTCTTTTTTTCCCTTTTTCTTTTTTTCTTTCTTTTTTTTTGTTTTGGTTTTTTGTTTGTTTGTTTGTTTCTTCTGACCCAAACAATGAGATTTGAATAGGAAGATCTTTCAGCAGGAAAGCATTCTTTAAAAAAATAAAACTTCCAAAAGTAAAGCAAAAATCTTTTACCAAAATACTTTTCTTTTTTTTCACATTTTTCTGAGACAGTTCAACTACTACCCTCTATCAACTTAAAGAACATCACTCAAATTCCTTTTTTTTTTCTTGCCCTTAGACTGAATGGAAAATTAATGGTTCAGAAATTCCAGAAGGTCAGTGTGTGACATAGACAGAATAAGGCTCTTTGGATTGTCTAGCACACTTAACTTTAATGTACTCATGACAGCTGCAATCCTAAGGATGTGGCTAGGATGCACACAACAGCAGCCCGATGAGATCAAAGTAATAAATAATATCTGCAAAGAAAATAACCTAACCTCTGGAGACTACATTTCTTAAAGCCAACCGCTGTCTTCAGGGGCATCATTTTCGTATGGCCTAGGTGCTGCTCTAGTCCCCTTTAGTGGTGCTTCCTGGCTGATGGCGGGTGGGATGCAGACATGAGACGCTGCCTTAGAGACCATCATTTTAACGTACAGCGTCTTACAGAGAACTCAACAGTGCGCTCTAAGCAAATGCCTGCAGCGGGTGTGTTAAGGCATAAACAGCCCAGCCTTGAGCTATGAGGGGTAGGGAGAGATGCACCAGCGACATGGACCATCTTTAACCAGAGCAGTTAGAGAACATAACACCTACAGTAAGACCAAGTCAGTGATACCTCAAAGGACCGTCTATAAAGTCGAAGCCTGAAGGCTGGGACCTAGTGAGGCCCAGGTTCCCTTCAGAGCACTCAGACTCAGAAAAGAGCCTATCCCTATGTGTGGAGGCAGCAAGGATGTCACTGTCATAGAAGTGTGCCTCTTAGGCTACCAAAAACTGCCCACCAGAGTTCCTGGGGGGCGCACTGATACTGAGACTGCTCTCAGGTGTCCCGCCTGCTTCTGTAAGGGGTCACCACCCATACTGCACACTAACTGCTGGCACAGCTGGAGAGAGCAGCATTGTGTATGTTAAACCAGACAGAGGACTGCTTTGCACACGGCTAGTGCACCCAATCCTTGCGTAGCCCATGGGATGAGATGCAGCCTCCATCCGCCCTCCACGCTGAGAACGTCACCCCAGGGCGGGTGGGTCCAGGGAGACATGCTTTTCTCCTAGGCAGATGGCCGCACATCAGCCTTCCCAGCAGCTCCAGGGTTCCCACAACCTATCCTTTAATGCTTGGATGTATCAAGCGGAGGCTGAATGTACGTCCTGGTTTTCAAAGGGCGGCAGTGGCTCTCTCCAAAAGGTGAAGTTACTGAAAGTGTCTGAACAGGGGAAGTCGGAGGAATGGCTTCTCTTCAGCAATGGGAAGACATGGTCAACCACCTCACAGAGCCTCACATACCTGCCAGGCAAAAAGGACAGTAGTTCATTACCCACGGAGCCACACCCAGACGCATGAAGGGCAGGGCCAGACTCTGGGCTGCACTGTGGGCTGGGGAGGAATATACTATCCCAACCCCGGTGAGCAGCCATCTCCCTGCCTCAGTGGAACAATCCTCGCCTCATGAATTAGCTGGAAGTGAGAGGGGGAGACAGAACGGGCAAAGATGAGAAGGCTCCCAGGAGCAGTCAGCCTGACTATGCATGAAGAGCAGACAAAAGGAGCAGAAGTGCCAGGGGTGGACAGAGGGAGGTCAGAACATCAGGCGTATTGGCCTGCCATGGTAGACACATGCAAAATATCTGCCACAGTGGCCACATGGGGCGTGTCTGCCATGGGGGCCACATGTGGGTGGGGTGCCTGCCACAGAGGTCACATGTAGGATGCCTGCCATGGTGGCCATATGTGGGGTGTTGGAGAGGAACCATTGGCAAAGCACATCTGTAGAGCGCTGAGACTACCACATTCGCAGTGACAAGACACAGGGCCATGGGCTTATCAAAATGCAGACTTGGCATCAATCCTGCCCAGTGCCAGCTGTGTGAGCTCAGGCAAAGGCTTTTGCCTTTTCACACCCCGACTCCCTCTACCGTAAAGGAAGGAAAATGAAAACTGCCACTTGCTTAGCATCAGAAACAGAATAGCATGGGCAGTGATTGAGTGTCCTGTACTGGAAACTCATCATTCAACGACGGATCATCTACACTTCTGGAAACCGTCCCAGGCCACGGGTCAGCAAGCTTGAGGCCTCCTCCAGCCTTACACACTCTGTGACTCTGGGCAAGCATCTTGTCCTCCCTGAGCTTCAATCCCTTCATCCTCACAGTGTGTGGGGCTGGACCACACAGTAGTCTCCAGCACTCCCTACCTCAGGGCTTTTCCTCTATCCCCAGGAAGATGCTGCCTAGCCACAGCCTGCACTACAGAAAGAAGGCAGCTACATGAAATCAACCTGGAAGGCCTCCAGGCTCCTCCCCACAGGGATTTGGACACGCTCAATCCTCCCCCACATAGCCTAGACTCCTGTGTGACAGGCCGTGGGTTCTCTTGTGCCGAGAACCAAAAGGGGCTTTCAAAATGCAAACTCCAGAAATTAGCATGTTCTGAGGCATGAAATGACTTATTCAATAAGGCTGCGTGTGTGTTTAATAAAGGGCCTCCAACGGACTTGTGAGAAACAGTGTGCTTGCACAGAGCGGAGGAAACCTCTCTCAGCAATACACTAAGAATTATGTCTTTCCTAGGGATTAAAACAAACAAATTTTCTAAATACCTCCTGACTTGAAAGCCTATTAGCCTGAGGTTTGTGGCTATGGGAGATGGGAGGAGGGAACTGTCCCCTGCCAGGCGGCGGAAGTCACCAGAACCAAGCTGGCGAGGCTCACGTGCCCTGGCAGCAGTGCCTGCTCCATCTGGGTGGCCCATTCCACCCTCCAGGCATGGGGCTCCCTAGAGCAAGGACAGGAAATCCCCTGACTATAAAGGAGGATAGTCCTGAACTCGGTCCCCCACCCAGACGGCCTTCACCAAATAAAGACCGTTCACAAGAACATCCCAGGCTCCCAGGGACAAGACAAGCACCTGCTTGGCTAGAAATGGTCATACCCAGGGGCCTGCAAGAAGGCTCAGCAGGAAAAGAAGTGCTTGTCTGAAAAGTCTGGAAGCCTGAATTCAAAACCTGGAAGCCACATAAAGGCCGGAGGAGCAAATAGCATCCACAGTTGCCCTCTGATCTCCACATGCATGCCACGGCACATGCACTTGCCTGTGCGTACACACACGCACACACACACACACACACACACACACACACACACACACATATGCACACACACATTAATAATTAAAAGAAAACATCATACCAAGTTCTAGGCCTTGGTATACCTACTCCCTGAAGACAGAGGATTCATCTCAGAGCACCTGTCTCAATACCACACAGGTGAAAGGATCCCAAGTGACTGCTACAGGGTAGGAGGGCTCTGGCTCCATCTTCTTCTCTTCCCACACCTACAGAGCTGTCGGGCCTCTGACCTTTCTATGAAGCCAGGAAGCCAGGGCTCCCTCACATCTGGAACTGCTCTAGTCAAGCTGGACTCTATCTAGTCCAGCTGCAAAAAAAAACAAACAAACCATCTTCAAAGTGAGAAACTGCTCTGGTGGTCTCATCTGGAAATCCAGACTGGCCTGCAACTCGATATGCAGTCTACGGCTGGCCTCAAACCCAGGGCAATCCTCCTGCCTCTGCTTTCCCAGGGTGCAGGGATTACAGGTGTGAGTCATGACCATGCCTAGCTCGAAAACCATGAGAGGTGCCTGCAAACACCAGAAGGACTCTGGCAGCGACTCCCCAGATCCACCGCTCCGTTTATGGCAGTGTTGCCAGCACTCAAGCCAGAAGCTATTTTCCAGTTTGGTGCAGATCACAGGAAGAGATACGCAGTGTCTGCAGCGGAAGAGGCAGAGGGAGAGTGCCTGCCTGGGCTGATGTACCCAGTCGGGCTGACACGAGAGACCCATGTGAGGCAAGGCAGAGGCAAGAGTGACTGACGCTACATGTACCGCAATGCCTTGTTCAATACCGCAACCCAGATGGGTGTGGTGGCCCGCCCTGTAATCCCAGCACTGGGGAGAATGAAGGAGATTGCAAAGTCCAAAGCCAACCTGGGCTCCATGGCAAGATCCTGTCTCAAACAAAGCAAACAGCAGCAAGCTAGGGGCAGAGAAGGGCACCCCCTGCAGTGCAGTGCTCACCTAGCATGCCCAAGGCCCTGGGCTCTGTCCCCAGCACCATGCGGAACAAAGCGTGACTTCCCATGGTTCACCTGGGTAACATCCCTAATTGACAGTCTAACTCAGCCAATTGAAGTTCTAGAACTCATTCAATTCCATTCCACAGATGACTCTTGCCTCTAGTTGGGGCTTTACACCCTGTGGGATCTGACTTCGTTCTAACTGTCCCAAAACTAAGCTGGAGACCGAAGACATGGAGTTGAACTCCATTTTTAGAGGAATTAAAGATTAAAACAGGGGCTGGAGAGATGGCTCAATGATAAATTGCCTTCCCTGAAGGAATGAGAACTTGAGATTCTCAATGCCCACATAAAAAGTCAGATATAATACAAGCCTGCAACCCCGTGCTGAAAACTCCCTGCAGCCAGGCTAGCCCATTGGCTAAGCTTCAAGTTCAATGAGAAACGTTGTCTCAAAACTTAAGGGAAGAATGATTGAGGAAGATGCATGACGATGACCTCTAACCTCCATAGATATGAACACATATGTGTATACATACATGTACACACACACACACACACACACAAAGATGAAAACAAAGGTAGCAATGGCTAAAAGTGACTGCAATGGACAGTGATGTTGGCTTTGGGACAGAGAGGGGGATCCAGTTCTTGGGAAGCTGATATACTCACGAGCTGATGTTGGTCTTGGCATGCTCCTGCACCAGCTCGCCCTTGGGGTTGACAGTGAAGATCCTGTTCAGTGACACCCCCACTTGCTTGTAGGAGTACACATCCTATGTACAGAAAAGGTGATTTAACGTGTCAGGGTGGGCGAGGAGTTCACCGTACAAACAAGCACACACCACCTTTCACGGAACGTCACGTGATCCAGTTTTCACTAATGGGCGCTGCACCTCAGGGAGACAGGGACACATTCAGCTAGCTTTCCTCCTGGGGCCTCAGTTCCTTCAACTCTTCAGGACCTGAGCTAACTAACTCTGTCCCCTACCACGCCGGCTGGCATTCCTCAGGTTTACTTCCTAACCCTTTTCTCATTGCATAATAAGCTGCCAGAGGTTTGAAAAGCAGAATTTTTCAGCTGAGTAGTGAATACCCAGATAGGTTCTACAGAACACAGAACCTTCTAGCAACAGTGGGTCATGTACACAACATCCCCACACCTTCCTGTCACCCTAGGAGTCTTTGCTGCAGGCTTCAAACTGAACTTTCCAAAAAGGTTGGGTCACACACGCAGTCTCCACTCATTTCCTTTACCCGGGGAGATCTCACTACATGCTTCCGGCTGGAGGCACTGGACCCAACCCTGCCTCAGGCAGGGCTGGCATGGTGGGCCCATCTAGAGGGAGGGACCCAGTACCTCAGAGCCCTTGTGTTATTCATTGAGTAATGCACAATTGCAAGTTTGTCGTCCAGGTCACCAGCTTCAAAATCAAAGATGCCCAGAGGCCATGTCTGACTGATCTCTAACCTCTCTGCCTTAGGAGGACATTCGCTTTACATGTACTCCTCGGCCAGCCCCTGTGAAAGCTGCCAGCACCAAGGGCAACTTCTGAGGCTCCATGGACCCCTCGGGTACTTACAGCAGGACGGTTCCCAAAAGCAGCGTAGAAGGGTTCTGTGTTCGGGAAAAACAGGTTTTTGATGTCTGTCAAGCACTGGACTTTGAACTTTTCTGGCTTCTTTTCAATCACTTCTCTATTAAAACAAACAAATAAATAACTGGTCAGCGCGGGAGGACTTAAGTTTGCATTAAAGTGGTGTGAGGGCCACGGAAGCTGCTTAGTGGGTAAGGAGGCTCTTTGCCTAGTCCAACAGCCTGAGTGTATGCCCCAGAGCCAGGTTAGAGGGAGGGGAGTGGCCCCTTCGTGCTGCCCTCCGACTTACACACACACACACACACACACACACACACACACTCACACACACACTCACACACTCACACACACTCACACTCACACACACACTCACACACACACTCACACACACTCACACACACACTCACACACACTCACACACACACACTCACACACACACACACACACACACACACCAAGCTCACTGGTGAGCACACAGACCAAGTTCCAAGAACATCTATAAATGAAAGGGAGGCAGTGTAGGGGACTGCAGTCATTACAGGAAGTCAAGAGTCATGTGACACGGCATGAGCTAAGAGAAGGGAGATCACTTCCAATAAGAAGACACTGGACACTGTCGATATCTAGTTAGGATGACACTCTTTTTTTAATTGAGTGTTATTTGTATGTATGTGTGTCCATGTGCCAAGTGTGTGGGGGTGGCCTGTACAGGCCGAAGGATGATATCCAATCCCCTGGTCTGCAGTGGCTGTGAGCCATCCAGCATGGGTGCTGGGACTCAAACTCTGGCCCTCTGCAAGAGCTCTGCTATTAGCTGCTGAGCCATTTCTCTAGCCCCAGGATAAAAATTCTTAGATCAAAAATAGAGGAGGAAAAAGGAAAACTGCTACAAAAATCTGGTCGTGATGGCAACAACATGTAGTCCTAGAGCTAGAGAGGCAGAGGCATGGGGATGTCTAAAAATGCAAGGGTTAGCATGGTCTACCTACGGAGTCCCAGGCCAAAACACGGTCACATGGTGAGACTCTTCCTAAGGCCCTTCTGCAAACATCCCATGGGGAGTAAAAAGATGGTCTCCAGAAACGTTGTTCGGTGCTGTGCTTCGGGTGCTCGCCAGAGAACAATGCAAGAAAAGGTAAATACAAACTATAAAACTTAGAAGGAATTAGGGGTCAAAAAGATATGATGGACCTTCTTGATTAAAATTATAAAAACTCAGAGCTGGAGAGATGACTCATCAGAGAAGAACACTGGCTGCTCTTCCAGAGGACTCGGGTTCAATTCCCAGCACCCACATGGCAGCTAGTAACTGCCTGTAACTCCAGTTTCAGATGATATGACATCTTCACACAGACATACTTGCAAGCAAAAACATGAATGCCCATCAAGTAAAAAAGTAAATAAAGTATAAAAAAATACTAAAAGCTCATTGAAATGGACAAGAAAAACCTAAATAAAATAGACAGACCAGATTCTTGAATTATATTGAGCTATTCTAAACTGGCCTCTAGATTCATTGCATTTGTAATCAAATCTTAACAGACCTTTGGATGCTTTAATGAAACTTGGTTCCGAAAGTCACATGGCAGACCAGTGGGCCTGACACAGCTTAGACACTGATGAGTATGGGACACAAGCACTGGGACCATGGATAGTAGTCAGAAGAGGCCAGCTAAAAGGACTCAGAGTGCATGCGTGCATGTGCACAGTGGCCGGGGTCCGTCTCGGGTGTCATTCCTCAGGTGCTGTCCCCTCTTCTGTTTTTCAGACAAGCTTTCTCACTGGTCTAGAATTCACCAAATAGGCAGGCTGACTGGCCAACGAGGCCCAGGGATCCACCTGTCTCTGCCACCACACCCCATTATATCTTAAGCGACTAGAACTTGTGCCAGACAGCACAGCCAAAGTTAATCATGATAAGGTAACAAGACTGACGACTGCCATCCTACTGTGTGCTCAGCCTGTTTGTTTGACCTGCTTTTAAGTGAACAATGTAACATCAACTTTAACTGCCTTGGAGTTCCCATGTGATCAGTTTTTTACAACCTAAGCTAATGGATAACTGTAATCTTAATTTATGGACTCTTCCATGCCCCTGCCCCAGAGTAACACATATATGTTTGTGTGATGTGATAATAATTTACTGAAAGCAGCAAAAAAGGAGGTTAGAAGCAATCTTATAAATTGAACATCCCACCCTAAGTGTTGAGCATGGCATTTGGATACTGTTTGGTAAGCCACGGCGTTTGTTATCTGGGTCAGCCAGGGTCAGTTTGAGTCAGTGACTTAATACCTTGTGAAATTCTGTTTCTGTAAAGTGTCCTACACACACACACACACACACACACACACACACACACACAGAGGGACAGATGCACACACACACAGAGACAGACAGACAGACACACATACATACATACACACATATATACAGGGACACACGCAGACATGGGGACAGATTCACAAGCCAGGCAGGACAGATTCAGACATGTGATGGACAGACAAGAGGACAGAACACATATGGAGAAGAAAGTAGAGAATTCAAATCTGGGCTCATTCTTGGTTAGATGACACCAAGAGGGGAAGTCTTCCATTAATGTGATACTGAAGTATTATTGGTGACTCGAGTTTATTATTAATGCATTCAAAGAGACTATATTTTGATACATTCTGCAAGGAATTGGTAATGCATTTAACACACACACACACACACAACACACACACACACACACACACACACACACACACACACACACACGGATACTGAGGCTCACATTCCTCTTCATACTTGCAAAGCAAGGGCATTTATCAACCGAGTCACCTCTCCAGTCCAACAGTCTACTCATTGTGCAAAACTTGCAATGAGGAAGAGAGAACAGGGCTAGCCAGCAGGTCAGCGTATGGGGGTCGGCTGGCGGGACAGTACCCGTGCAGAGCATGGGGTTGGCTGGCAGGGCAGTACCTGTGCAGGACATGGGGAGGGGACGGCAGAGCAGTACCTGTGCAGGGCAGAGAAGAGGCTGCTTGGGCTGAGCAGAAGTGGTCCCTGCGGCAGCACCGTGCCCCTCTCGTTGACCCAGTGCAGGTAGCCCCTTGTCATGTCCGCCATCCCAATGGCACGTGCTGAACAGTAGAGAAACTTGTAGCCGTTCCTGAAAGACACAAAACATCCACTTTGAACAGCATTGTAGGATGGAACTTTGCAGCATCCCAACCCCTTACCTCTACCTGCCCTCTGAAGAAAGGCATGGTCACAAGGCCCCACGTGGAAAATTCTGTATTCTGTAAAATGTTATTTCCAGTTGACAACGAGCCTGAACGCCTCTCACTGCATCATAGACAAGCTCTCTGAGTCCGAGCTAGAGTAGCTTTCCGTTATGATAAGCCACCACTCACCTCTTCTACATACCAGACCACACCATGCTTCCCACAGCTGGATGGACAGTGGCACAGAGCCCTTGGTAAGCATGAGAGTGGAGGGACACTTCTGGGGGTGGAGTAGGGTGGTGAGACTCGTCCACCACTGAGAAGGACACCACTACAGGCTGACCCACCCACGTCTCTGCATAGTCTGAGGCTCTCCCCATCATCCCTCAGCCACAGCAGCCGTGGGGTACAGGGAGACGGGGAAAGGTGCCAGTACACCATCTGCTCTTGATGGTCAGTGACCGACACGGCGTCTGGAGAACACTGGGGCAAAGTATGACAGAGCATCCTGTACCCAGGTTTCTCATCCTGCCACAGCCTCAGCCTGCTTGATTAAACAATACTGGGCTGGAGAAATGGCTCCAACAGGGGAAGCCTGACCACCTGCAATCCACCCAGAACCTGCAGAGAGAGACGGATGCGCTGGCACCATCTGTAGTGCCAGCACTCCCCTGGTGAGAGGGGAGGCATAGACAGGAGAATCAGGCCAGTGGTAGAGACGAGAGAGACACTGTCTCAGTGAGGTGGGGGGTAAGAACCAACTCCTGAAAGCTGTCTGTCCTCTGACCTCCACAGTCAGACTACGGCATGCCACACACACACACACACACACACACACACACACACATATACACACACACACGGATGCACACACACGCACACACACACATGCACGCACATACATATAAACACAAGCACACATATGTACCCACACAAACACATATGCACATATGCATATACACACATGCATACACACACACACAATAAAAAATTTGAAACCCACAATCCAGCAGACTTAAATAGTTTTGAATTTTCCAAGATAAGCTTTTAGACTGGGGTTCTCAGCACAGCTGTCTTGGAGCAGGTAGGTGTAAGACGCTGACAGTGATGCACTGTCAGACACAGCATCCCCAGCACACAGCTGTCTTGGAGCAGGTAGATGTAAGACGCCTACAGTGATGCACTGTCAGACACAGCATCCCCAGCACACAGCTGTCTTGGAGCAGGTAGATGTAAGACGCCTACAGTGATGCACTGTCAGACACAGCATCCCCAGCACACAGCTGTCTTGGAGCAGGTAGATGTAAGACGCCTACAGTGATGCACTGTCAGACACAGCATCCCCAGCTGCCACCTACCAGGTACCCATAGCACACAGTAATCGTGACAATCAAAAAAGCCTTGAAGCATGGTCTCTCATGCCCGAAATCCTCATGCTTGGGAGGCAAAAGCAGGGACTGTGAGTTCCAAGACAGTCTGGGATACATAGCAAAAGACCTTGTCTCAAAATTAAGGCTCTAGACACTACTGTATATTCAAAAGAGGGGGTGCAGGGGGCCCCAAAGCCACCCTCAGTTGAGGGTCACCGTTGTGAAGAGAAGGGATTCTGGCCTCATTTGTAATCCCAGGAGAAAGGCAATGTTACCCGCCACCCTAAGGAAGTAAATCTGTGTCTTTGTAAGTTACTCCATGCTCAGAGGGAGAGGTCCTGTACACAGAGTGTAGGGCCACACACTGGCAGTTACTAGATGGCAGTCCGGCCCTCTGTACTTACTGGCTTACTTTATGGTACAGTTTTGCAATGCCCTGGTGGGTCCAATCCTTCCCCAGTGTGGGCAAAATATGACCAAGAGTATCCGATCTAGAAAAAAGATGAAAAAAAAAACACATATACATAAGCCAAAGGTTACTGTAAGATGAGAGGAGACAAATGCCCAGTTGGCTTAGATACACTGTTCTTGCCCCATAAAAATACTATCAGTGAGAGATGGTAAGACGGCTTAGCGGGGGAAGGTGATTGCAGCCAGGCCTGACAGCTGGAGTTTGATCCTAGGCACCCACATGGCAGGAGAGCAGACTGCACCCAGGTTAACCCTGAGGTCCATGCTCATGCACGTGCATGTGCACCCACAAAAATGTGTGGAAAAAACTAAAAGAATACTATGAGTAAGATCCATGGCTTTCTCAACAGAAAGCCCCAGCTCACAGAATCAAGTGGGGGGGGGGGACAGGGGTGAGTCGTCATGATGAGGGTTTGCCAAACCTAAGTGGGTTGCTAACCATTCCAGAACAGCGTCTCCAAAAATCACCAGGTTGGAGAGATAATACCCAAACAGAAACAAAGTATCAGACCCTAGTGGCAGCCAAGGAGCTTCCCTATCTGCACCGTCCCAAATGCACCAGAAACTGTATGCTCCCGTCCACCATGTTACCCAGAGTAAGATGGAAGCCAGCTCAGGCCACCCTGCAGTCAAAGACCCACCTTGTGATGGTCCCATCGATGTCTGAGATAATGACTTTATCATCCCAGTTCCACAGGTAGATGGTGCCTTCACAGCGACAGGTGCCCTGGTACTGCGTAGTGACACTAAAAACCACATCGTTGGGGCCATTCTTCAACTTCAAGCTTTTCTGAAAAAACATGAATCATTTTTGTGCTTAGCAAGGAGGTCCAGATTCAGAGGTTGTTTGGCTTCCATAGGCTTCAAAATGGAACCATCTCCCCCAGGCAACTGTGAAGTTCTCACGTCTGTTTCTAGCTCTAGCTCTTTCCAGGGCTGGATGGGCAACCTAAGTCAGACTCAGCTCTCCTCTGCCCCACTCATTACAAAGCATTCTTCTAAAAGCAATGCTAACTTGATCCAAAACTTGAGAGTTAAATGACTGGCTACCAGGCTTCACCCAAGTCACGCCATTACATAGGAAATGTGAAGGCTCTTGGTGTGAGGACACAAATATAAGTCAGGCAAAAATGTTTCCCTCAATACTGTTTTTGTCCATTTTTATAATGACTCAGAATGGAAAGGGAGGCCTTGAGTCCATAAAAACAAAGGCATTCCAAATTCAGAAAACAAAACTTGGTCGGCCTTCAGTCTTTGCTGGCGTATTCTGAGACACACAGCTAGCTGCACAGACCTACAAGATTGACTTGAAGTGTCCACCAAGGCCTACAAGTGGCTAACAGAGGGTCATCTTTTCCCATTAAATACCATGCTATCAAAACCTGCTCCCCATAAGTTCTTTGTTTCTTTGTTTGTTTTTGTTGTTGTTGTTTTGTTTTCAAGACAAGGTTTCTCAGTATTGCTTTGGAGGTTGTCCTGGAACTCCCTCTGTAGACCAGGCTGGCCTCAAACTCACAATGATCCACCTGCCTCTGCCTCCTGAGTGCTGGGATTAAAGGCGTGCACCACCAACGTCCAGCTCCCTATAAGTTCTTATAATAGATACACAAGACTTTATTTATAGAAAAGCAGATACCTACACTGATGGCCTTGATTTCAAGTAAGTCTGGGGTTGGAAAGGCCTCATTAATATTAGCCACACATACACAATACACACACAATACATATACTCACGGGAGGGGGGCTCCTTTGCTTCCTAAAATTCTCTAAACCCCACCACACTGCTTGATCTCCACCAATTGTATAGATGCATTTGAGTTAACAAGCATATCAAAGCAAAAACACTCGGGAGAGTTCCAAAGACTCTCGACCACTGGTAATGAGGATAAACGGGCTCAGGCAAAGCTGCCTGCTCCACCTAGGTCAGAAAAAAAGAAACTCAAGAGTGCACAGTCATGTAGCAGGTCCATGTGAACAGATGCAAGGTCAGTTTGGAGACACGGGGAACCGAGGTGAGGGTGTGATGCCACCAGCAGGCATGCTGGCATAGGAAAGGCACTAGAGGAAGGTCTGCGTGAGCAAAATAGTAGAAAGAACTCTCAAAACTTCAAGAAAGGCCGACAGCTCTATGTGTCCTCGACCTGAGGACTAGAAATGCAGCTGTACCAAAAGCACAGGACTCACCAACTGCTCCGACGTGAGCCGCAGGGTCTTTTTGTAGCTGACGGTCGACAAGAGGGAGAGGTGGCTTGAGCTCGATGGCTTGGAAGCTGCATGTTCTTCATCACTGGAGGATGACTCATGCTTTATTCTGGAACACATGGTGATGCAATTAGGAAACGCATCTGGGCAACCATTAAAAATGCATTAGGCCCGAATCAATGACTCCGTCAATCAGGTCTCCTGGGTGGTCATTTGCCATATGGTTTTAGGTTTATCAATGAATTCTCCTATATCCCCATTCATACATGGCTTTACTGTGGAGGGGGAGGGGCTACCTCTCCTCATTCACTCCCCCATTTACCAACTCTCATCACTCACTTTTAACTAGTGTGATTCCATTCATGATGAGTAGGGCTACACCCATTCTGGCCCAGAGAGCTACAGACACACACACTCGTCTGCCTCTTTTCTCTTTCCACTGGAGGCTGTGGGCCAAGCCCTACAAGTCCAAATGTCTACAGTCCAAATGCCACCAGTTGTCTGCAATCCAGTTTCATCAATTCCACGGAGCCAATTCCAAACAATTAGGATACTCCCTGGACCTAACATCTGCCGCCCCCAAGACTCCTGGAAGTCGCTATGAGCCAAGACACTACCTCTTACCCACAGAATGCACAGACCAATGTCCCAGTTCTTCTAGTGGCTCCTACCGGCAGGGAGTAGGAGGCAGGGTAAGACTCAGGCCCGCAGTCTTTAGTACCTCACAGAAGGCCAGTCAGTAAATTAGTTGCTCCCTGAGCTCAATTCTGGGGCTTCATCCTCCAAACTAATAATGTTTGTTCTCCCTCCCCAAGTCTTGGCACTCTGCAAAAGTACTTAATAACAGGCTTGGACGGAATGGAAAAGGCCCAGTGCCTCCAAAGCAGGCACGCCCCTAATGGTCTTTCTGTTGCTGGGATAAAACACCAGACCAAAGGCAACTTGGGGAGGAAAGGGTTACCACTGTCTGGTCACACTCCATCACCGACGGAAGTCAGGGCGGGAACTCGAGACAAGAAACTGGAGCCAGCAGCCCAAGGCTCTTAGAGGAATGCTGCTTACCAGCCTGCCCCTCTTGGCTTACTCTTCAGCCTACTTTCTTATGCAACAACCCAGGGCCACCTTCCCAGGAATAAACGGCACTGCCGCATCAATCATTAAATAAGGCAATACCTTACAGGCTTGTCTATAGGCCATCTTAGGGAGGCATTTTTTCAGTTTTAAGATTCCCTCTTCCCAGGCATGCCTGGGTTTGTATCAAGTTGACAAAAATAAATAAACCAACCAACTTTCGTATCCCTTTATAAAGGCAACCGGCACGCAGATCTCCGTCTTCCTTACCTCAGGGAGTGCTCCCCTCTCCTTCCAGCATCCTCTCAGCCTGTTCCTGGCTCCATTTCCTCTGGCCTGCCTTACAGTCACCCAGATAGCCTCACATACAAGCTTTCCCACCATGGGTACTCATTCAAGAAGTGATCTGCATACCCTGATGCTGACTGGGACCCAGGAGTCATCATGGGGAACACTCACACAGCACCCCCACTTCTGTGTGGAGCCCTGGCTCTCTGTGGAGCCGGATATTGACAAAAGGAGACAATATAGCCCAGTCATCCCTGCTCTCTTTGGGTTTTGCCACCAGAGCTGGAGGGCACCCTTGGCAGTCACAAAGCTTTGAGTAAGTTCTGGGATCAATGACCATGTCAAAGGAGACAGGTTATGTACAGGCTGGAATTCTGGTTATCTAAGGCAGACCTGAGCTCTGTGGGAGTCGCAGTGAAGACAGCAGCCATGATCTGAAAACCCAAGGTTGCCAGCTCAAGGAAATGCAGACTGCACTACTGACGATGAATTAAATATCCCTGCCTTTCAGCCTGCTTCCTTCCTTCTAATTTACTGACTGGCCTTCTGTGAGGTACTTTAGACTGCGGGCCTGAGTCTTACCCTGCCTCCTAGTCCCTGCCTGTAGGAGCCACTAGAAGAACAGGACATTGGTCTATGCATTCTGTGGGCAAGAGGTAGGAGCACACTGCCACCTCCCAAAGCTCAGGGTGTGGCGACAAACTGTGGGGAGAATGAGACAGACATCTAAGTCCCACGCTGTGATACCAGAGGACTCCTCTCTGTGCCTCAGTCAGCTCTCCCATAATGCTTAACCAAAGTCCCTTCCTGCTCCAACATCTGCAGATCCCACAGGAGCACTCATCCTCCTTCACCGACTAGAGGTTTCCAGATGGAGCGAACCCAGTCCTGGAGCCTGAGCCACGTGACCAGTGCTCCAGACTAAGGCCCTCTCATCAAGCAGGACGCGGCTGGAGGCCCTTCCTGCTCCAAGCAGAGTAGAGCAAAGTGAGATCACAACGTTCCCGCGGCTCTTAGTAACAACAGATTGATGTGTGCCTCTGCCAGAGGGGATGAGCGAGACACACACACTCGAGCGAGTAAGTGGGGGTAGCTGTGATTTCCATCTGCCGCTTAGGAGGAGAACGGCCCACTGAACTCATGCGGCATGCTATGTTGAAGGAACCCAGGAAGAGAAACACAGACTCAAAAAACGAAAATGGGCGTCGTTGTGCAGTTGGCTGCCGGCAGCTCTCCGATGGGCACGTGGACAGCCATTGGAGGCTGCCACCTTCCCGACCTCACCACCCTGAGTGGAAGGAGGATGCTCCTAGGCAGAGGCCCCACCACTCCTGCAGTGGTTCATTAGATATTGCTTGCTCCATAGGGACCGCAAACGGCAACAACAGGGCCCCAAGTCGTTTGAAAATCTGTGTTCCGACGAGGAACTGTGAGTGGTTAAGCTAGCGCTTGTCACGGCACCCATTTTCCTAATAGCATTTTAATTATTTGTATGGTGACAAGCTATTTGCTCAATTATGGGACTTTGGGGACTGTTCTGTCAATCAAGTCTGTCAACTAAGAAAACATGCGGATGCCAATTTTTTTTTAGGGCATTGAGGTGACTCTGGTAAGACTGGAAGTCAAGGGTGCTGCCACAAATGAAGACATTTCCATTCCTCGAGAGAACTTCCCCATGTTTCAGAGTCAATTTACAGCTTTCCAGGTCTGACAACTGTAAGTTAGGACGGGGCAGAGTGGGGCTGCCTTTCTGTAAGAGGACGGGTACCACGCAGTGCAGGAGGGAAGGAGACCCGTCAGAGCACACATAAACTCCCAGAGCGGAGCTTGGCCCAGGAGGGCTCCTCAGTGTCTGCTGTCCCAGCCCACCCCTGTGTCCCTGAGTTCCTGCACAGCCAGAAACGGAAAGAAGGAAAGCTAAGAACAACAGCAGGCACCATGTCCTTGGTGTCCTGCCCCTCTGCCAACGTGTCACAGCCCACGCTCTGTAGTAGCCTCAGGCTCCCATCTCTTCCAGGTCTAGCCTGGCCTGTACATTTAGAAGACACCCAGCACTTGGCCCCTGTCGCAGGTCTTAAAATAGTTTAAAATGCCCAGATGATCACATGTCCTTCTGGTAACTGTGGTCTGGGCTGGGGGCTTGTGCATTCTGGTCACCTTGTCACAGGGTCACTGTGAGCACTCATCGTAGAAGGAGAAAGGAGATGCCAGGGTGTCTGTCATCCTGCTTCATAGATGCTGATGCAGAGAGGCGCCTTAATGAGTCACAGACCCCAGAGAGGGGATCTGACATCACCCCTGCTCCACCACCCCTGCTCCACCACCCCTCCCTCATCACCCCTCCCTCATCACCCCTCCCTCATCACCCCCTGCTCCACCACCCCTCCCTCATCACTCCTCCCTCATCACCCCTGCTCCACCGCCCCTGCCCCACCACTGCAGAGAGACAGAACTCTTGACCAGAAGGCCAGGAAGACAGTGCTGGGGCTCACACTGTTGGGCATCTCGTCCCCTCCAGGCATGGGCACAGGAGGGCACAGAACAGCGGAGCCAGGAGAAAGCGCCTCCACCTGGGCACCAGCAGCGAGAACAGGAAGCCTCCTGCTTCAAGAACATCCCAGCTGAGAAACAGCCCATCTGTGCAGAACCATCGTATTTCCCAGACGTCACCCCTTGTCCCACTCCCAACCAGGCTTCTACAAAGCAGACTCTCCCTTGCCAATGGCACACATTTCTACTTCCAACAGAGAATTCTAGAAATATTACAGTCTAAGGTACAGAGCTGTGGCCAGGATCTGGAGGACATGAAGCCTAAGCCAGTGTCCCCTGTAAATGAACCAGCACGCAGGGAATCCTTCATCAGCTCAGGTAGAACTCAACGTTCTCGACGTGCCCCAGCTGTAACTGGCCTGGCTTTGGCCTCCAGGGACTAATATGAGGAAGATGTGGGTGGGACCCACAGTGGCTCTGTCCACATATTCTAGCTGCTGAGTGAGAAATGCAGTCTCAGGTTCCATAGCAACAGGAAGACTGCAAAGGTGAGGAGCTGGCATTGTCAGTGTGACACTGGCACAGACTGTCCCATGTCAATCTCGGTTCCAGCATCAGCATCATGGACCAATGACATCACCCGCAGGGCCAAGGCACCCTCAAGTCCATGTAGAGACGGACCTGAAGACAGACCAAGTAATGCCGACTCCGGTGTCAAAAGCTAACCAGGAGATGGCTCAGCGGGTAAAGGGCCTTTGCTATGCGGGCATGAGGAATCGAGTGGGGGTCTCCAGCGCCCACCTAAAAATCAGGTGCAGCAGCTCACATCTGTAATCCGACTGCTGGGGTAGGGGGTGTCCAGACAGGTAGATCCCAAGATCTCAATGGCCAGGCAGCCTAGCAGAAACAGTGAGCCCTGAGTTCCCTGAGAGACCACGTCTCTGAAGGCATCCTTTAAAGTGCAGAGCTGTGGCTGGGAGCCAGGGCACATGAAACCTGAGCCAGCGTCCCCTGTAAATGAGCCAGCACACAGGGAAGCGCTCCTCAGCTCAGAAAGGGTCCGGTATTGACCTCTGACCTCCACACATGCACTCTCAGACAAGTACAGTATGAGTATACCCCCACACAGACAGACAGACACACACACACACACACACACATATATATGCCAGGACCATGAGAGACATGTTGGCTAAGTAGCTCCCTGGAGACTCACATTTACCTTGAACCTCAACTGTCTGAGAGAGAGGCTGCATATACAAGAGAAACAAGAAAGACCATCCAATAAGCCGCTCCTGGTCTCAGTCACCTAGTGACTCCAGAGCCAGCGGGAGCCGAGGCCTAAGACGTGAACCACAGGCTGACCTCGTCAGTGTCCAGGGGGCATGCACATGACCCTAATTCTGCCCAAGAAAGGGGTGGCATCATTGCCAGAGGGACACCCCACTCCCGTACCTGGTGGCCAGGCCAAGCTGTGCAGGCTGCTCTCCCGTATTGTGGCCCTTCCCTGGCAGGCACTGCTCAGGCTTGCTCTCCTAGGGGAAAGGAAAAAACGCCATCAGAGAAGGAGGAAGGGGGCTCCCAAAAGCTTGGGTCCCACCACGGGACTCTCCGAGGCCCAGGGCAAGGCAGCAAAGGCACACACACCCAGGATAAGGACCCCCACCCAGGAGGCTCTGGAGGGTGTCTGTTTTGGCAGGTCCCCATTACTTCCTTGCCTAGAAATATCGTAAGATTAAGCTGAGAAGCATTTTTGACAGAAATGAGTCTGTTAGTTATCCCTAAGTGTTCCTGGCACCCGACCAAACGTCATCATCACTGTCACAGAGGCACGTGGCGTTAACGGGGGCTGCCTGAATTCCTGAGGGTTTCCACAATATTTTCTTCTAATTGCCAATAGAAATGTTCAAAAATATTTGCACACCATATTTTTCTCAGGGAAAATGAGAAAGCATTTCTCTCTTCCAATGCTACATAATCCTAACGGGAAATGCTTCTGGAACATCTTGGAGAGAGCCTGGTGTGTCTAAGGGAACCCTGAGCCCAGGCCCACTGCTCTCTCTCACTTGGGAAACCTCACCTCTCAAACAGGAATAGGGGTGCTGATAACACTAGCTACTGATCCATAAACCAGAAATCCAGACACGTGGCAGGGAGGGGAGGGGAGGGAGTGGAGGAGAGGAGAGGGGAGGGGAGGGGAGGGGAGAGAAGGAGGGAGAGAGGGAGGGAGGGAGGCCATAGACAGGGAAGGAGGGGGGAGTGGAAAAGCAGAGAAGGAGGGAGGGAGGGAGGGAGGGAGGGAGGAGGGAGGGAGGGAGGGAGGGAGGGAGGGAGGGAGGGAGAGAGGGAGGGAGGGAGGGAGGGAGAGAGGGAGCAGGATAAACCAGCAGACTACCACTGAGTCAGAAGAGGCCAGAGACTATGTCAAGGGTGAAGGGGACGTGAATCACTTTGCGTGTGTCCTTTGGTCAAGAGACAGGTTAATGACCTCCAGTGCCATATTCAAATAGAGCAAGCAAGTCAGGTTAGGCATGGCAGCTCATGCCTATCATCTCAGCTTTGGGGAAGTTGAGAGAGGGGGGTAGCTGCTAGTTCAAAGTAAGCGGGGGCTCGATACAGAGTCTGTCTCACAGAGGGTGAACATAAACCAACATAGCAGTGAATATCTTAAAGTATGAGACTGAAACTTAGTGTGAAATATTCCTTCAGTTGGTTGGTTGGTTAGATGCAGGGTCTTGCTATGTAAGTCCTGGCTGGCCTTCAACTCGTGGCAATTCTGTCTCTGCCTCCTGAGTGCTAAAGTTACAGGCTCACAATGCATGCCCATCTTTACTTGATCAGGTTTTTTTGTTTGCTGTGGGGGACTTGTTTGTTTGTTTCTGATTGTGTGTGGGGTTTGTGTGTTTTGTTTTGTTTTTGAGGCAGGGTCTCACTGTGTAGCCTTGGCTAGCCTTGAACTCATAAAGATCCACCTGCCTCTGACTCCTGAGTACTGGGGTTAAAGGCCTGTACCATAAGGTTCAACTGTTGTTTGTTTTTATAAGTACAAAAGCAGCTGGCATAACCATTCAAATATTACCAATTGAATGATTTAACCATGTGACTTGGCTACCACAGTTAACAACTTTTCACTTGGCTAATTAAGAAATGAAGATCTACATGAATAACTCTATTTCCATTCTTTAGAGACATATTTAATTTCATAAACACCCCTTCCTTCGCACTGGCATTCCCCTAAATGTAGATACCCTACAAATAAGAAGTCTTTGAAATACAATTCTGCCTGGAGTTCTAGAACATTCTGTCCTCTGGTAAATACACTAGAAAGCCCCTTGTGTTGTACATCTAAAGCAGGATAGCATCCGTGTTCGCCCTGACTCTCTCAGACCCTTGAAGACAATGCAGCAGGTGGCAATACACAGACACATTAGCAGCACGTCAAAGAACAATTCGATCTGCGCACAGCACTTCAAGGCACCTTCTCCCTTTGACCTCACAGACTCAGATGAGCCCAGTGATGCTTCTGGGAGTGTCTATATAGCCTTCTGGTTTTCTTACTACCTCCAGAAGCAGTCACTCAATAAATATGCACCGCATCCCTACACCAGCTCCACAGGAAACAAAGCTATAAATGGTTTCTATCTTCATGGAGCTTAGGATGTGGAGAAGGTAAGCAATGTTAACCAAATAATCTCACTAATGAGTGTACAATTGTAAATCCTGACAAAATGCATGAGGAAACAGCCATGGCCCTGGCGAGCAGGATAGCAGACCAGGTTGATCTGGCATAAAAGGAGGAGTTGGGCTGCTGGTTAATTAAGTGAAGGGGATCAAAGCGGTCCTGGGAGCACCAGATGGCAGGAAGAGCGTGTGCAAAGGCCCTGGGTAGATTCGGTTTTAATCAATCATGCTAACATATAGAACGAGAGAAGACAGGACTAGCAAGGGAAGTCAGAGTTAGAACACACAGGCACTGTAGGATGCCAAGGACCTCCACCATCACTGTAGGAACCCTGGGAAGCCGCTAAAGAGGTCGAGCAGGGGCTGAAGACAAGGCTCAGTGCCCTTGCTTCACAAGCATGAGGATCCAAGTCAGTTCTCAGCACCTATGTAAAAGCTGGCCCCGGCTATGCATGCCCCTAACTCCAGAACCGAGGCAGGGGAGGCAGGAGGCTAACCGGAGTTTGTTGGTTGCCAGCCTAGTTCCAGGTTCAGTGGGAACATGGTCTCAAGGGAATAAGGAGAACAGTAACAGAGCAAGACACCCAAAGCCCTCCCCTGGTCTCTCTCTCTCTCCTCTCTCTCTCTCTCTCTCTCTCCCTCTCCCTCTCCCTCTCCCTCTCCCTCTCCCTCTCCCTCTCTCTCTCTCTCTCTCTCTCTCTCTCTCTCTCTCTCTCTCTCTCTCTCTCTCTCTCTCTCTCTCACACACACACACACACACACACCAATAACGTAAAATGTTTTAAGCAAGGGGCAACATAAATTAGCATCCAGCTTAAACAGGCCAGTCCAACTACAATACAGAGAACGAGAAAGAGGGCAACAATGGACTCCATACACAGCCTGAAGGCAACCTGGGAGAGAGGAAGACAGTCTGGACTGGCAGGAGAGGAGCTAAGAGGAAACCTTCAAATTGGAACAACACTCAATCTGCGGCCTCGCTGGCCTCCATGGAGGGAGTCTGAATAAGGGCCACGTCCAGCCACAGAGGGACAGTGGAGTCCTTCCCTACACACTACTTCAACAAAGGGAGACCCCAAGTGTGGCCGAGAACGACTCTGACACGATGCCTAGAAGCTTCTGTTTCTCTGGCTGAGTGATAAACTGGTATGGCGTCCAAACAACCACCTGGTTTGTCTGGTTTGGAAATAAGAAATGGGATGGGGGTCAGGGAGAACCAAGAGGTAAAAGTCAAAAAGAGGGACCTAAGATGCGCTGAGGGACTGGCCAGGGGAGGGGTCGTTAGGAGAGGGTTTGAGAAAAGCCTGGAGGGTGGGCGCTGAGCAGAAGGCCAAGCAGGGAAAGTGACCAGGACAGGGACTGAGAGGTGGAGCAAGGCCCGACAATGAGGGGCTTTAGGAGATCACCCACAAATTTTCATGCATGAGACCTGAGCCTTCCGAGATGTGGCTAAAGAGGCTTAGTCAACAGCCATGGCCGACTCCCTGTTGTCCTCACCAACATAACGTGTTTTAAAACCGTAAGCTATGCTGAAACCCTTCTGTGATGGATAATATTGTCAACAAGACCTGGGCCAGGTTCTTCAATCGTGCAAGACCCACCCTAAATGTGGGCAGCGTCATCCCCGTGGGCTGAGGCCCTGGATGACTACAGGGGAGAAGGCCAGCTGAGTACCGCCAGCCTTTACCCCTCGGCCTTCTGTGGACAGAACGTGCCGGGCTGGTTCGCGCTCCCTCTGCCTCCACATGTCTCCCGTCATGGGCCACACTCTCTAACTGTGAGCCACATCTCCGCCTCCCTGAAGCTGTCAGGTACTCTGTGCCAGCAACAAGACTCATAGCTACTACATCTTTTTACTGATACAGGAAGTCCAGAGAGGGAAAAACAGCTCGACGGCCTGGGTCTGCAAACCACAGGGTGGCAGCGCCAGGCTCTGCCAGCCCCTCCTCCTTCTTGGCCACCTTCTGCCCTGTCCCCTTTCTGTAGGGCCAGCTCATTATTATGGCGCTCACTCACACAAGCCGGTGGAAGCAAACCTGACTACACAAAACCAAAGCACACTCAGTGCAACCGCCGCCCCACGCTCCCTGCACCAAAGCACACCCAGTGCAAGCGCCACCCCACGCTCCCTGCACCAGAGCACACTCAGTGCAAGCACCACCCCACGCTCCCTGCACCAAAGCACACTCAGTGCAAGCACCACCCCACGCTCCCTGCACCAAAGCACACTCAGTGCAAGCACCACCCCACGCTCCCTGCACCAAAGCACACCCAGTGCAAGCACCACCCCACGCTCCCTGCTTACCTCTTTGATTGTGGCATTTCTTCCCCTCCAGGAAAACCACCATCTTCCTCCCTTTTTGGGCATCTTATCTCTCATGATGGATTCCACAGTGGCCTGTTTTAAATGGATGGTAACATAAATAATGGAACCAAAAAAAAAAAAAAAAAAAGGATCAACTTAGCACACTCAATACAAAAGAAAACGTAGTTACAAATCAAAGGAGGAGACAGAAAAATAAAAAAACAAATAAAACGTAACGCAACATACTGTGGGTGGACTGAAAATTTTAGAAAGGCAAAACCTAATGGCATCCAAAATCACGTGAAGGTAACTGAGGCAGGAAGACTTAAGAAGATGGGAAAAGAACCAACGAACAAACAAACAAAATACAACACAACAACAACAGGAAAAAAAAGCATTAGAAATCATTAGTGGTTAGTAGATCTAAGTTTTCAAACTAAAATATATAACTTTATGATGTTATTAACCTTAATATGATGATTACAAAATGAAACAGGAAAAGAAAAAATGATGGCTATGGTACAGGGTCCAACAGCTGTAAACAAAGTCAAAATACATGGCTTTGTTTTTTTAGTCAATGTAAGTTTTCAAAGCTTAACCGACTAAACTTTAGCAGATAGATTTAAAAAAATCAAGGGTTAAAAATAAAATTCATATGGACGCCTTGAATACATCAAAGTTTGATGGGGAATACTAAATATGAAATAATAATTTTATAAACATTTCCAAAGAACAACGTCTGTCTTAAGCCTAGTTGGGGCCCAGGCAAATGTTATCTGATTTTCCATCCTCCATGTAGATCGATTGATTATAAATAGCTATTACCTCAGCTAGTGAAGAATGACTTAGTCTTTCAACCTAACAGGAACAAGTAATAGACAAATGATTCACAGGTTTAGCCTCAAGTACACAATTAATATTTAAAAGATCCTCAGCTCACACAGAAGACGACCGAGTCCACTAAAAGGCAAACCTTATGCACGATGTTCAGGGACAGCACAATCCACAGCCAACTGTCTACCCTCCTCCTCCTCCTCCTCCTCCTCCTCACCAAATCCATCCACAAGCCAACTGTCTACCCTCCTCCTCCTCCTCCTCCTCCTCCTCACCAAATCCATCCACAAGCCAACTGTCTACCCTCCTCCTCCTCCTCCTCCTCCTCCTCCTCACCAAATCCATCCACAAGCCAACTGTCTACCCTCCTCCTCCTCCTCCTCCTCATCCTCCTCCTCACCAAATCCATCCACAAGCCAACTGTCTACTCTCCTCCTCCTCCTCCTCCTCCTCCTCCTCCTCCTCCTCCTCCTCCTCCTCCTCCTCCTCCCCCACCAAATCCATCTACAAGTAAGCCCCAGATGGGGTCTAAGGTCCTTCTAAAGAATCAACAAACAAAAACAGCAAAGAAGACCCTCCAACGGGATCAGGGTTAAGCAGGTGCCAGTTCTGCAGCGGGTTAAATCTACATCAATCTAAAAAAGTTCAGTGCTGGCTCAGGAGCAAACACATCTCTGAAACAGAAAATCTTAAGTCCAGATGAAGAAATTCGCCCAAATGTATAGATGAATGGAACAACCAGCACCAACCATCAAGAAGAAGACCACCTAACATGGGGCACCGGGGCAATCCTGAGGTGATTCTCAACTCTTTTGGACCCTGGAGGTCAGGCACCTGCCTCCCTCCTAACTGTGGTCCAGAAGCAGGCTGCCACTTGTGCAGGAAGCCTTTCAGGGGAGGTGGGCTCAGTTCCAGGGACAAAACACACTTGGACTACGCCATCCATGATTATCTATCTCACGGCTCTGCCAAGACCCAGTTTAGAAAAGATCAAACTGTGAGCAATGACTCTCCCGTTAACCCGCCCCACCTGGGCTCATTTTCTTAATCGTGTTAGCGCTCACCTTTGGCAAAGGTTTCTGGAAGGCCTGCATTGCCAAGAGCAGAGGAGCTGCTGTTGTCCAGTTGTAATACCTAACAAGAAGAAGAGATGGTGTCAGGAGAGTGAGGTGAGTGTCACAGAAAGGCTGGAACCCTTAACAAACCCAGTGGGATTGCTCCCTTCCCAGGCCTCCATATCAATCCTGTCTACACAGTCTCTCCCTTTCTCCTGTGCACCTCACGGCCATGACAAAGGCGAAGGGTCAGAGGAAGACAAGGCATGAGGGTGAACATGCCACAAGCAGCTAGTGACCACGTGGATAGCAGTCAAGTCCCCTGGGTGGTCCCTGCTCCAAGCCATGTCCTGCTGAACTTCATGGAAAGGAGACAGACTCTGTAACCTCCTAAGTCAATACATAAAACACCTGCAATGTCCTCTCAGTGAGGAACGTCTACAACAGTCTTCAGAGTCCACTGCACAGCCCAGACTGAGCTCATATGGCGGTGCCTCCACGCTGCAGGGAAACTGCACCCTGAGGTCCGAGTCCCATAGTCCGAGCACCATGCCTGACATGGTCAGTTTCATGGTCTGGTCCAGGCACATATTAGCATCCACAAAGTGGGGCTGGGGAGCCAGCTCAGTGGGAGCCAGCCTGTCATAGTCCTTTCAGATCCCCAGCGCCCACACTGAAAAGCCAGCCCTGTGGCACAGACCTATGAGTCCAGTGCTGGGAGGTGGAGACAGGAGGATTCCTAGGACTTGCCTGTCTACCAGCTAAGCCAAACCAGCAAATTCCAGTTCAGTGGGACACCCTGTCTCAAAAAGTAAGGTGGAAGACAGGGCACTGTGGGAAACAAACACCTTTAATCCCATCCACTAGACAGGCTGAGACAGGTGGGTCTCAGTGAGTTTGAAGTCAACATGGTCTACATAGTTCCAGGACAGCCAGGGCTACATAGCGAGATCCTGCCTCAAAAAGCAAAACAAAACCAAAAGAAGGGTAGAGTGATCAGAGAAAATGTGGGTCTCTGGCCTCCACATGCATACATGTATGCATGCAAACGCACCATGTATACCACATATATACTTACGCTGAACACACACACATACACACTCCACAATACTCTCAATTATCTCAGTCCAGCAGCTGCACGGCGACATAGAATTTTACAAATAAATGAAGGGCAATAATTAAGTTTAACAAGACTTCATTAAGGCTTGACACAAACAGTACCATCCCACTCCAAAAGGACTGCCAGCAGGAACTTACTTATTACCGATCTTGACCACTAGATTGGGGTCATCGATGATGGCGGGGTTGTCAGCGAACTGCTGATACGACACGGCTTGTTCCAAAAACGCATCTGTGGCGGGTGGCAGCAGTAGGACAAGGGAGAGAGAGTCACAGGGTGTTTTTGGTTTTTTTAAAGAAACAGGCCAGTTTTCAGCTTGCTCGTTCCCACGCATTTTCCTGAGAGTTTCTGAATTGCAGTTCATCAGGGAACCCTACAGATCCCATGAATGCACATGTGAAAAGATAGTTTCTAGGAAGGGCTGGTGGCACCCAGGCCAGAATAAAAGGACCCAGTCTGTGCATAAGAAGTCGCCAAAGCCTAGGAGAGACTTCCCAGGGGTCACTGCAGCAGGAAGAGGAAGTAGTGTGGTCACTGAGAGCATCACCACCCCCTGCTAGAAACACAGAGAAAACGGTGGTGGGGGAAGAGAGGGGGGTGGAGGGAAAATAGGTCTGGTTCAAGAATTCAACAGCCAGGGCTGGAGAGATGGCTCAGTGGTTAAGGGCACTTACTGCTCTTCCAAAGGTCCTGAGTTCAATTCCCAGAACCCACGTGTCAGCTCACAACTGTCTGGTACCTTATTCTGGCATGCAGATGTATATGCAGACAAAGTATCCATATACATAAATAAATAAATCTTATTTTTAAAAAAAGGAATCCAACAGCCAACAGCTGCTGTTGCACCAGCTAGGGATCTCATGCACGACTCGCCATGGACCTGCCACAAGGTATTCAGCCGTCACTTACCAGTATGGCAGATGGTATGCATAAGGCCTACCAGCACGGCAGCCTCTAGAATCCCGTGGGGAAAAGTTCCAGAATTCCGCAAACTAACTCAACCTCCCTTCTGTCCCCAGAGACTTCACACACACTCCCAACACTCTGAAGGACTGATGGGCCTAACCTGTGCCACGCCACCCCCACACCTGCAGGCTCACCATGAACATTCTTCAGGGCTGGCCCTGGGCACAGGGACAACCAATTGTGCTCCATGATCACCTCTGAGAGTAAATGCCCCCAACAGCCTTCGTGCTGCCTGAAGGCCCTTGCACCCACATCAACACAAGCAAGAGCCTCAGCTCCGGGACCTTCTGACCAGCAGCCACTAGAGGGTGCTGTCCCGTACAGCCTAGTACCTTTGGTGATGTCTCTGTGGTCACTGAGGCCACCGCAGAGGGAGATGGCTATGGATGGTAGGTCCCTCAGGCCATCCGAGGTGCTCTCCACACCGCTGTCAATGCCCGAACTGCCCACTGACTGTGGGGACTGGTTGGCTGACCTGGCTCCGATGTCGCAGGCTTGTTTGGAGAGCCCAGCAGGATCACCACTGAAAGGAGGGGATAGAGAAACTGTTCTGAGCACCCCACCGTTCTCTCTCCAGCTATTCAATCAAATGACCCCCCGAAAGCTGCACCACCTCAGAGAAGCAACCACTGTCACCTCGGGGCAGCTGTGCCATCAAAACATCGTACAGATGGCAAAGTCAAATGACCGACTTCTGGAGGGCCTGTCACAGTTTTCTGCAACACTCCAAACACATATGAAGAAAACCCCAGAGACAGCATGTGCCAGGGAGGCCACTGTTATCCACTGACACTGGCCCACCCTATATCCCAAGGGAGCTAAAGCTGGGTTCCCCCAAGGCCTGAGTGTGAATACCATACAAAGGGAAGACCATACAAAGGTCTCTCTCACTTGGATCGTGGGCCACTGGTCACTGCAACCCAGGCTCAGATACCATTGAGATACCCTTGAGCCCACATCCCCCAACACACACACACACACGGACTCTTACACAGCACACACACACACACACACACACACACACACACACACAGGGACTTACACAGCACACAGAGCCAAGGCTGTGCCCAGGCTAAATGTGAGCCTTTGGTGTCCCTGATCCCCCACTGATCAGTCAAGGTAAGCTGGGCTCCTCAATAGAAAACAGTATCAGGACCAGATGTGATGGCCTAACCCTGCACTCCCAGCAATCAAGACACTGAGGCAGGAGGACCTCCACAAGTTCAAGGACACCCTAGACTACATAGTGAGTCCCTATCTCGAAAATCAAAAAGTAGTCTTGGGAATAAGAACAACTGTTACTTCTTTGGGAAGTACAGGGCTGCCACTTCAGGGTCCATGTCTGTGAGATCATCCAGGTAGACGCCATCGGCTCCGAGGTGTCGACTCCGTTTATCTGAAAGAGTACATGAGCATGTCAGAGACTAACTGATGAGTTTCCATCTCCAGGAACAACATGAGAGCCCAAAGCGCAGATCTGCTCCCGGGTTCCCAAAGCTGCCCCCGGCCCAAGATCCAGAGCCCGAGAAGCCAGCAAGCCCATCACTGCAGAACTGCTGCTCCTTCCTCCTGGCCCAGCCGGAATCAAGCCCTAAGCCTCAACCCTCATCCACAGGGGGCCTGACAAGTTCCAAGCCCTCCACACTGAAGCTGCTGCCATGAGTACCATAATTATTAGTTGTGGGGTTCCAAGGCCTCCACACTGAAGCTGTTGCCATGATCACCGCAATTATTAGTTGTGGATGACAAAGCCTTTCCTGAATACCTCCCTGCTGACCCTCCAGGGCACAGCATCCCTACAGGTGCATGATGGGTCCCCGCACACCATGCCCATAGACTCCCTCTCCACTCGCTACTGAACTGTGTGACTGGTTCATACAGACCCAGGGTGTTGCACCAGGCTACCTGGCTAACCAGGGTGGAGCTCAGTCAGTATGGATGGTGAGCTCATCAAGCTCCACTGTCACTGGCATGATCCAGGGAAACACAGAAAGACCTCCAACAACGCTAACCGTGTCTGGCCCCACACTCCACAAGGGACACTCAAGCTCCTCACTCTGCAGAAGAGCACAGATTAACGACTCGACACAACACTTGTCATGGGTGGGGGTCTTTGCTGATTTATTTGAAACCTCTGGTGAAGCTGCAGGGCCTCCAGTGTGGGCTGCGTGTCTGGGAATAAGCTGGGAGGGCCATACCTTTCTTCCTGGAAGGGGAATCCGTCTTGCTTGTCGTCTGTGCTGTGCTGGCAGCCGGGGGCTTGAGCTCTTCAGCCGCGGGTAGAGGTGGGGCTGCGGCTCCTAAGGCCTCGAGGTCCTCCTCGTTCACAAACTGCATCTCTGTCTGGGCCTTGCTCTGGTTCACCAGCAGCCCCTGGGCCAGGGTTGGTGACTGGTCACTGAAAGTGTCTGAAGACTCACTATGAATGGCCTGAAAGTGAATTTTATCAGGGATCTTCCGGCTCCCTAACGGGCTGGAGTCCTTCATTTTGTGTGGGGAAGATGCCTGGAAGGAAGGAGAAACAGACGAGTGTTGCAGCTGACTCAGACATTCTCAGTGTGCCACAGAACTGAGTTTAAAGGCTTTTACCTTTGCAGCCTGCGGCAATTCACCCCAGAGCCAGAGCATTTCCAGGTTACTCTTTGGTGTCGACCTGTCCGAAGACTTACTGACCAACTCAGAATCACTCTTGGGTGTTGAGGGACGGGAGCCTGCAGGACTTAAGAAAACACAAACCCATCATTTGAGTGAGAAAAGAAAACCCTTTGTTTTTGTCCCAGAGTCATGGTTCTAGCAACTCAGAAAATTTCTCTCTGCTGCGGTTCCCTTCTGACAACCCCACCCTTGGCCACCAGAGGTCAGTGTGCACCATGTCCAAATTGAAGGGCATTAAGAAAAAGGAAGGAGCTATATATAATTTGGTGGAGGGGGGGCATGGGGATAGAATCAGAACTTGACACTCTCAGAGAACTAACAAAAGAAGGAGGAGACTTGGAGGAGGAAGAGGAGGAGGAGGAGGAAAAATCAGAGAGGCAGAGAGCGGGAAAGCAGGGGAGAGGCTCTTGGGTACAAACTGCTGTCCTGCACCACATCTGGTTTCCCCCTGTGATCCCATTTTGCTAGCAAGCATCTCAGCTTTCTTTCGGGTGGGTGCAGAAGGGTCCTGGCCAGCTGGCGCTGCGCCCCAGGTTCAAACACAGGCTTTGAGCACAGGGAAAACATCTTGCGTGCCAACTTCATTATGCTGGGTCACATGAAAAGGCTTTGTGTCACCCACCACGCCGCTCAGCCTCAGGCCAGCTTCTAAATGACAGCCGCACTTCCACACCGCACACTCTTACGTCTAACTCTTGAACCTAGTCCTACGTCTATTCAGCCAAATTAATGGGCTGAAAGAATCAACTTAGGTCCACTTTCTCAGACACCACGCCAAGAGGTAGGAAGAAGTGGCCTCGGAGCTTCCTTTCTCTGATGTTCCCACACCACTTCCTCCAGAGGAACACGGCAGTTCTCTCACAGACTTCGCCACAGACCCTATCTGCGTCTGCACCCCACCCCCACCCCCACCCCCACCGCACCAAGGCTCACTTATCTAAGTTCTGTCTCCAACTCAAGATGGCGTTTCCTGTTGGCACTAGCAGAGATGCCTTGGTAGGGCATCCGACACCGTGGCCACGAGTAACTTGTAGGTTCTCTACATTGCTAACCCGGCCCTGACACTTCCACGAACCCAGCCTATGGGCTCTTAGGCCCTCTTTTCACAGGGATGTAAAGAACCCCCTTTCCCTTGATGTGTGATGACCACTGACTTTCTCAACCAAAGCATACTGTCATAGGGAAACCAGCATGTTCTAGCCCTGTCTGCGGGGAGGAGGTTCCAGGTACATCAGACCAGGAGAAATTCTACAATGGAACCCTACAATATACACACACACACACACACACTCTCTCTCTCTCTCTCTCTCTCTCTCTTAAAAATATACTTCAAAGCCACAGTGGGGAAAAGGAGGTAGGCATGGTAGTACACATCTTTAACCCCAGCACTTAAGAGGCAGAAACAGGCAAATCTCTTTGAATTCCAAGCCATCCTTGTCTACATAGCAAGTTCTAGGCCAGCCAGGGCTACAGTAGTGAGATCCTGTTTCAAAACAAACAAAATCCAAAGGGCTTTTTGTTGTTGTTGTTGGGGGGGGGTGGGATCAGTAAATACAATTAAATGTGAAATTAAATTTTAAATCAAATGAAACTGTAAAAGTTATGTTTCCCAGATAGAAATTATTCAATGCTTATTCTGATAATTAAGTTTTAAAAGTAGACGAGGATGTCCACAAAGGCCCGACCTACACCTTTCTTCTAAGTCCCTGTCCAGAAATGCTGGGAAGAGTGTCGAATCCATTATGTAGACAGCCTAATAGGCTGTTTAAATATTTATAGTAAGTGGCTTGACTTATCTACTAAAGTGGCCTTCTAAAAATAGCTTGTAGACTTGTCTGTCAAATGACCCTCCACAGGAAAGACTGTACCTCAGTCTCAAGTTCCTTGTCCTGGTTTTCAAGGCCACCCAGGGAGTCGGGCAGCAAGATAGGAGAGACCACTGGAGGGATTTTAAACAAGCCAAATCAGGACTCAGAGGTAAAGAGCACATGCTGTTCTTCCAGAGGATACAACTGGAATTCCCAGCACCCACAAGGCAGCTCACAATCCTTTGCGACTCTAGTTCCAGGGACCCATCACCCTCTTCTGGCCTGAGGGGGCACTACATGCATGTGGTACATGAACATACATACATGCAGGCACGCATTCATACCCATGAAAGTAAATAATCTTTAAAATAAAATAGACAAGTCGAATCACTTACAGCTTACAGTGGAAGGAGGTACATATTTTTTCACAAGTCAGTTAGTTAGTGAGTAAAATTTACTTTAAGGGTTAAATCAAAATTTCTATTTCGTATCATCTGTTAATAAGTTGTTCACAAGTCACTGTGTTACGGTAAGGCTTAGAGGTTAGAGCACAGCTTCCATAAGAACTGGTCTACCTTTCCGAAGCATGCAAGTGGGAAGACTGCGGAGGGCAAGAGCTAGAAAGAACTCCCTCGTCCACTACTGCAAGGTGAGGGGGGGTCCTCTGGCAATCTGCCAGGCTGCTGGAGGCACCGAAAGATTCGCAACAAAAAGAGAAAAAAAAAAAACACAGGTCAGTTCAATGCAATTGCCTATCTCCGCTTCAGCTGCCCTCACCACCAACAATTCTAAGAAATGAAATCACTAGGCTGTTAATCAGCAAAAGGAGAGTCTATGTTGAGATCAGGAGGACAGCAACATGAACTTTCTTTTGAAACAGAGTCTCCTGTTCCTCGGGCTGGCCTGACCACGAACCTCTGTGGAGGGTGGGTGCAGGCATGAACCACTGCGCCTGGTTTTACCCTGGGATGGGGGGCAAAGCCAGGACCTAACATGTGCTAAGCAAGCACCCCACTAACTTGAGCTGCTTCCCCGGCCTTCAGCATCAACTTTCAGGTCCACAAGGTCGGGAAGGCGCCAAAAGACCCATCTGGCTTCCCCTTCCATCCTGTGCCCTTCGTCAGCCAAGACAAGATGGCCCATGTCTGACTGACGCGCTGGGCGCTGAATCAAACTACACGATGTAAAGCCACGAACATGGGTTCTGTCTGTCGTCTCCTTAATAAAAACACATCATTCTGGTGTGGACATAAGTATCTACTTAACCTAATGTGTAATCCATTTGACAGCAGTCACACAATGTGAGGTTATCAGTACCCTGACTCACGAAGCAAACAAGACAGACAGACATTGTCTGTGCTGTTTTAAAACATTTATTTCACATTCTTCGGGTTAATGAATGCAGTTTCTGCATTGTTCCCTTCCTAAGTCACTGTTTTCTCTTCATAGGGGTCGTCTCCCCTGAGCCAGGACAAGAACACATGAGGTTCCAGGCACCTTAGGGTGCCCTGTCCTGCACAGTGAGCCAGGTGACGCTGGAGACGAAGAGGGAGTCACTGCCCTTAGAGACTTATTATAAATATCTCCCTAATGCTTTCCCTTTGTTTGTTTGCGGTTCCTTTGTTTTGTTTTGTTTACTGGGACAGGGTTTCTCTGTGTAGTCCTGGCTGTCCTGGAGCTCACTCTGCAGACCAGCCTGGCCTGGAACTCACAGAGATCCGCCTGCCTCGGCCTCCTGAGTGCTGGGACTTGTGTGTCAGCACTGCCCAGCTAGAAATACTTCATTAATGTTTTCAAATGGACTATTCTGCAAAATATAAAATGTACCTTTGGGGGCCAGAGAGATGTCTCAGCAGTTAAGAGCTCCGACTGCTCTTCCAGAGGACCCAGGTACAATTCCCAGCACCCACATGGCAGCTCACAACTGTCTATAACTCCAAGATCTGACACCCTCACACAGACATACATGCAAGTAAAATACCAATGCACATAAAATAAATTTTAAAAAAAGAAATGTACCTTTGAAGTTATTTTCATGTTTTTATAAAGGTTAATTTCATTTTTATTTGTGTGTGTGTGTGTGTGCCATGTATGTATAGGTATCCATGGAGACCAGAAGACGGCATGGGATGCCTGAAACAGGAGTTATGGGCAGTTGTGAGGCACCCAGAATGTGTTCTGGGAATCAAACTCAGATCCTCTGGAAGTGCAAGAAGCGGTCTTCACCTCTGAGCCATCTCTCCAACCCCAATTATACCAATTAAAAAAAAATCTTGTAAGCACATGTGGTGGTTAAGTGTTAACTGCTGGCTTAGCAGGATCTATAAAGACCTGGGGGATTGGCTCCTGGACGTGACTGTGGAGGATTATTTTGATTTGATCAACTGAGATAGGAAGATCTACCCACTGTGGGTGGCACCATTCCCTGTGGGATACTGGACTCTATGGAGAAAGGGGGCTGAGTGATGGCATGCACTCATCTCTCTCTGCTTTCGGATGGTGGGCGCCATGGGACCAACTTCCTCAAGCTCTGCCTTGACCTCCCTGCCGTGACAGACTGGACCCTTGAACTGTGAACCAAAATAAACTGTTTTTCCCCTAAATTTCTTTAGTCAGGGTATTTTATGACAGCAACAGGAAAAGAAATTAAAACAAGATGTCTAGCAGAAAATGTTTAAACTACATACATGTGGCCAAGAATCAGGTACCTGATGGAAGGGCCGATCTCTAAGCAGGCGGCCCCCATCCCTTGGTAGACCAACATTTCCTGTCAGCCCGAGCTGGAATCAGGCATGGGACACACTATGCTTCAGCCCACAGTGCTGACGGCTGTTGCCTCGTTCTTAAGATGACAGCTGAGCAAACTGGGGCCAACAGGGGTGTGCTCCGACCGGGCTGGTAGCCCGCGCCACAGTCCCAGGGTGGGAGCACTTTCATTCTAAATGACAGGCAAAGCTCCAGCATCAGGTGGGACACCCCGAGGATGCCAGAGTCACTGCGTCTGCAGCCTCTTTCTCGCTATCTCCACATTCCCCAGCACCCTGAGCCAGTTATCAACCTGTCCTACCTGCCGTGGCCCCACAGAGGCCACAGACCATCGCCATGCCCAGGACTTGCCTGCCACCCTGGGATGGGGTGAGCCTGTCCTGTGGAGAACACAGGATTTAGCCCCATGTCCCTCCTCAGCTCTGGGCCCTCGTGATCTCAAAGGCATAGGTGGCATGGCTCTGAGAGTGTCTGGAGTCTTCGGGAAAGTCACTTGTGCTCCATGCAGCTCAGCTCGCCTCTCGGGTTTACGAGTGCACTCCAGGACAAGTGGAAAGGACATTTCCAGGAAGCGTGCGGTCCTGAATCCAGCAGTGTGGATTAGCTGCAGGCCAGCATCCCCTTTACAGTCCTTTATTTAAGTCAGAGGCCCCCCTGGAGCAATGTCGCCACATTTGACCTTCACTTCAAGGCTAAGGATCCAGGTCAGGTTGCTCATGCTGCCCTCTCCCGCTGCCAATGGCATTGGGTAACTTGGCAGGTTTTTTCCGCCTCCTGTTATGCCTTCCCCAGAGAACCTTGCAACATGTCTGTAGATGGGGACTGCAGGTTCAGTGCCAGTCTGAGCTTTGCTCACACACCGAAGGTTTTCTGATGCTAATGGCTTTAATTTCTATTTCACTATTTTCTTAGTCATGTGACTTCTAAATGGTCTGGACCAGAAAAGGCAACCTCCAGCACGCATAAGCAACTTACCTGGGGCTGGGGGACCATTCTCTGTCTGAATTGGGGTATGATGCTGACTGGGGGTGCGGTGAAATTGAGGGGAGGCTTTCCTTAGGAATATCGTCCTGGAATGGTGGTGCATCATTAGGAAGGGTTCTGGAGAGATAAAAAAAAGAAAAAAATTACCCAGGACAGACTCAAAATAAAGCCAAGTTTCTTCTTGATTACCTCTAAGGGCTTCATTAATTAACATGACCTCTGTTACTCTCAGGTACATCCTAGAAACTGAAGACGGCAATGGAAAAGGTGAAATGTCAGCATATATAAATGTGTGTTGGGTACATCTGCCTTGGGTGGGTTGTAAACTTACAATGACTTCACCAGAGCATGACCACGATGAGCACACCCATGAAGGTCCACTGATCCGCAAGCATGTGTGTGTGCCACTGCAGCACCCTCAAAACACATGTGAGTACTACTGTAGCATCCTCAGGCGTGTGTACTTCTGGTAGCATCCCCTTGTGTGTGTATGCGGGTGCCACCATAGCATCCTCAAAAGTGCTTGTGGACTTCCGTAGCATCTTTACCCATGTGTGCTACTATACTTCAACTGCGTGTGTATGCCGTTGTAGCATTCTCTGTGTGTGTGTGTGTGTGTGTGTATGTGTGTGTGTTGTCTGTGTGTCTATGTGTCTGTGTGTCTGTGTGTCTGTGGATAGAACCAAGGACTCATACATGGTAGGCAAGCACTCTACCACTGAGCTAACTGGCCTACTGCCTATTTTGCATCCTTAGAGATAGGGTCTCACTAAGTCACACAGGCTGGTGATCCTCCTGCCTCAGTCTCCCCAGTTCTGGGCTTCCCGATATACACTACCACACTTGGCTACCACATCTACAGCATCTCGTTGTCACCTTTCACACGACCCCTCACCAAAGCCTGAGTGGAACGTCAACCAGAACTGGATCCAGGTGTTTCAGAACATTGCCATGTACAGGGGGACTGCCACTCAAATAAATAAATCCGCACAGAACACGTCCCAAGTCTAGCCAGATAAATAAATGACATCGATCATGTGTGTCTGTTGGGGAAGTCTTACGTCAATAAAGCACTGTTGGGCCAATAGGAATCTAGATAGGTGGGACTAGGAGTCCAGGAGGATTCTGGGAAGGAGAAACACAGAGAGTTTCTCTGTATAAGAGAACCATGGGGTAGGAAGCCCGGAACTATTCTCCGGTAAGAGAAATACTTAGATTAACAATTATGGGGTAAATACTTAAGTCAGAGCTAGCCAGTAAGAAACAAACAAGGCCAACAGCTTCATAATGAATATAGCCTCCTGTGTGTTTATTTGGGACTGATGCGGCTCTAGAACCAGGCTGGCAGGAAGGCTTCTCTCAAAGAAAAGGTTTCTCTTTACATGTGTCTTTGAACTGAACACAGCTGTAGAACTCCCTAACCTCAGACTGGAGTGCAGACATTACAACACAGGGCTCACAAGCCCACACCTACAGAAGACATTGTTCTGTATTTCTAATGCTGTTGGAAGTGCCTGTGGCCAGGATCTGGAATTGAAAGCCCCAGAGGAAACGACATTATAGCCAGCCCATAACAAATAGTCCCAGTACCCACAGAAGGTGAGAGGTAACAGTTAGGGAAGACAATGATGCCAGCCAAGTTCTAGTATAAGGCAGAAAAATATATACATATTTTTTCCCGAGGACTAGGGGTGCGGCTCCATGGGTTGTTTGCCTAGCATGCACAGAACCCTAAATCACAGCACCACAAAATTTGGGTGTGGTGGCCTATGTCTATGATGCCAGCATTTGGGAGGTAGAGGCAGCAGGATCAGAAGTTCACGGTCATCTTCAGCCTTGTATAACCCTGTCTCAAAAAGTAAAAAACTGTTTACTCTGAACGATGAAGCAGAGGAACAGTCCATCCCTGGTGTTCTTTATCCCTTCTTTGAGTTAAAGAAACATAAAAATTATCAGCCGGGCGTTGGTGGCACGCACCTTTAATCCCAGCACTCGGGAGGCAGAGGCAGGCGGATCTCTGTGAGTTCGAGGCCAGCCTGGTCTACAGAGCGAGTTCCAGGACAGCCTCCAAAACAATACAGAGAAACCCTATCTCGAAAAAAAAATTATCAAAAGCTCCATGGAATTATATAAAAATCTAAAACAGCAAATAGTCCTTAAAATTTAGTTTTCAAAACTGGCTTTTGGTACCAAAATACATACTTAAAGTTTTGTGGCAGTCTTAGAAGTCAAGAAGAAACAAAAGACACGAGCCCATTAAATCTGGGCATAATTCCAATTAAAATGGAAAGGTTTGCTTGATACAAAGGGAGTGTGGGCTCCGGTCACCTTTAGCACTGAGCTGACCACACACTGCCTCCAGGTCACAGACAGACTTGGGGCGCAGGCAATGAGAGCCAGATCCTGGGAAGCCAATGAGGCAGTGAAGGGTGGGACTCCGTGACACAGAGACGGCGTAGCATGCACTATGCCACAGGCTTGATCCCCTGCACCAGGAAATAAATCACAGAGGGGTTTTTTTGTTGTTGTTGTTTTGTTTTTGTTTTGTTTTTTTGTTTTTTGGGTTCTTTTTTTTTTTTTTGGTTTTTCGAGACTTGCGTCCACCACTTGACTGCAAAAAATCAGTCTAAGATGCCTGAGAGAAGAATGAAAACCTTAAAAAAAAATTATGGCTGGGCAATGGTGGTACACGCCTTTAATCCCAGTACTCCGAGGAGGCAGAGGCAGGTGGACCTTTGTGAGTTTGAGGCCAGCCTGGTCTACAGAGTGAGTTCCAGGACAGCCAGGACTATACAGAGAAACCCTGTCTCAAAAAAAAAAAAATTACGAGAATCACCTTAAAAACTAACTTATTTAAGACTAGAGATACAGTCCAGTTCTTGCCTAGCAGGCATAAAACCCAGGTTCAAATCCAACCCCATTTAACAAAGCCTGATGGTATGTGTCTGTAATCCCAGCATTTGAGAGCGAGAGGCATGGTCATCAGAAGTCCATGTGACCCTCAACTACAGACTCAGGGCTCACCCTCTTCCAGCAAGGAGCCCGTCTTCCCTCACTGATTACCTGCCCCCGTCCATTGATGCCGTGTCCTCGTCAGAGCTCATCTCTATGGGAAACATGTCCTCATCCTCAGACGTGTTGACACTCTCGTCTCTCTTGTGATTGTCCAGCTGAGACTTCCTCCTCCGCTTCCTTCTCTTCTTCCCCAGAGATCCAGTGGACGGGGTGTCGCTGGGAGGCAGGCCCTGGGCAGCCGTGGAGGGATCCAAGCACCTGATCCTATCCACCGAGTTCCTTTTCAGCTGGCTCTCCATTCGAGACGCTCCTTCCGACAGAATGGGGGACGTGGCCAGGTATGTGGGGACGACTTCCTAAATGGGGCAGGTGTTCAAGAGTCCCGTTAATGCAGGTGGGGGAGGAGGGCCATGACAAAGGGAGAGAGCCACAGCAGGACAAGCTCACATTTCGCAGCCACAGGGAGACATCAGATAGACAGGCAAGAGTTATCAGCTCCTCAAATACTGCTTTGTACTCAACGCAGGGTTTGTATAATCATACCAGAGTCGGGCCGTTACCAGGGACTTCAAACCATCATAACTCATCTAAAACATCCAGGGCCGTGACAATGTTACTGGACCTGGGCACAGTTTTACATTTTATTTTGAGTGTCAGAGTAAGTGTGAGTGGGTCTCAACAGGTGAGTGGGGGGGAGGGGTTCACTTTCCAGCCGCATGGCTGCTGTCTCCAGGCCTGTCCCTCCAGAGCACATCCAGCTTCCAGTCGCATAGCCAGTGAGCTAGGGCACAGGGCCTCAGAGGCAATGGGGAAGAGTACTGCTGGCTCAAGACGAGGGGGCAATCGGTCATCAGCACGCAGGTCGCAGCTTCCAGCAGGGTCCCAGACAGCCACAAATGCTGAGCTGGCTGGCTACTTCACCACCGCCTCTGTGGCATCCAGGCCCCAAAGAACTCCTCAGCTCCTGGAGCCTAAAATGGGCCTCAGGCAGGAGTGCTAGGAGGTTAAGATAATCTCAGCTAGTAAACTTGGGGCTTCCCCTTCAGACAGGAGTTGCCTGGAGGCTGTGGGCGGGCAGCAGACAGTGGCGCAGGAGCAGCTCTTGGCTCCCAGCCCAGAAGCTGTTCCCTCAGGTAGATAACAGGGAGGCACTAGCCTGGGGCAGTCTAATTGCAGATGCAGGGTTAGTGCTTAAAGAACCGGCTGAGGTTTAGCTTTAGGAACCCCTGCACAAGACTGCTCCGCAGGGGCCCCAAACAGGATGCTGGGTGTCTCACGCTGTCACTCTCCACTTACAGCATTGAGACACAAGTCTCTCTCACTGAGCCTCAAGCTGCTCTTTTAGCTAGACTGACTGAGTGTCCAGCCAGCACAGTATCTCGATCTGCCTGTCTCTGCCCTCCCAAAGCTGGAGGTACAGGCACGTGCTGAACATTTCTTAACTCAGGTCTTCAAACTTGCAGGGCAAGCAGTCTTACACCAAGTCATCTCCTCAGGCCCAGACCCCCAAAGTATTAAACATGAGGTATTTCACTCCTAGGCATACACTGGGGAGGGGTGGGACGGGGTGGGGGGGTGGGACGGGACACCAAAGCCTACGTTCTCACAGAAACTTGATTAGGAAGGTGCACACCATTACTCACACTGGCCACAAGGTCCCTCGAGAGACGACTGGGTGAATGAAATGTGGTATATTAAGCTACTGAGCCATTGAAAACACTAGCATTCTGGCCCAAAATACGGCTCAGTTGGTAAGGCACCTGTTTCGAAGCCTGACATTCGAGTTCCATCTCGGGGATCCACACAGTGGAAGGAGAGGAAACACCACCTCCCAAAAGGCGCCCTCTGACATGGGCACATGCTGTGGCATGTGCTTACACAAACATAAATAAACGAGTAACAAAACGTGTGCAGTTCCACAACTGAACCCTGAAGCACCGCGTAAAGCGAAAACGTCACTCACAAACACTTGATTCGTTCATGTGAAAACTCAAAATAGGGTGTGCTGGCTGGTTTTGTGTGTCACCTTGACACAAGCTAGAGTCATCAGAGGGGAATGACCTTCAGTTGAGGAAATGCCTCCCTGAGACCCAGCTGTGAGGCATCTTCTCATTTAGTGATGATTGGGGTGGGGCCCAGGCCAGGGTGGATGATGCCATCCCTGGGCTCCTGGGTCCTATAAGAAAGCAGGCTGAGCAAGCCATGGGGAGCAAGCCGGTAAGCAGCACCCTCCATGGCCTCTGCATCCGTCCCTGCCTCCAGGTTCCTGCCCTGCTTGAGTTCCTGTCCTGACTTCCTCAGTGATGACCGTGATGTGGGAGTGGTCTCAGCATACTTGCCTGGCTCAGTCCCTCTGAAGGAGAACAAGTACTCTGCTCTGAAGCCAGCGGGTACCCACCAAAGGACCCAGAATCCCTTCTCCCCATGCCTGCCTGCTGTGTCTCCAGACCCTAGAGTGACCCTGAACTCACCCAGCCACCCTCACCTGATCATTTTCAGTCTCTTGAACGAAAAACGCTTCTCCATTGTCTCCCAACTTCATGTGCAGGTCCACAGACTCCCCGTTGATTTCTATGTCCACCTGAAGGGAGAGCACAAAGAATACACAGTGAGCGTCCGGGGAAACACCTCAAGTCCCAGTAGGTGTCCCCATCCAAGCACCCCTGCCCTGAGCACTGGGAGCAGGGGGAGGGAACTTGGTTTCCAAACATGGCTACACTGGTTCTTTTTAAATATCTCCACAGCTGTTCCAGAACCTTCCACGCCCCACCAACATGCATTACCACTGCCCCACCTCCTTGGAGAATGAGAAAGGCTTGTGACTGACACCCGACCAGAAGAATACAATAGAAGTAACTCTATAGGACTTCTGAAATAAGCTCATAAAAACACCATGTTCACCTAGGCTTGTGACTGACACCCGACCAGAAGAATACAATGGAAGTAACTCTATAGGACTTCTGAAACCAGCTCATAAAAACACCTAGTACCCGTCTCCCTCCCCCCCCCCAGCAGCTGCCGTGCAGTAAGGGGGAGGTCAGACCACATGGCAGGGCTCTGGTTGAAAGCACAGAACCAGCCCCCGGGCACAGGAGGGAGTAGGCCTTATGGAGCTAGGCCCCTGCCATGCCCTGTCCTGCCCTGAGCCTCTGAGCCTCTGACTTGATAAGCAGGGGTGTGCCCAACATCTTGGAGTAACTGACACTGCCTTAGTAACTGGAACAATGGGATCATGGGCGAGCATTAAATTATGCAAGGAGGCATCTTGAATGGTAAGTCTGGAAGCTCAGGACAGGGGACAGCACCCATGAGCTGCGGCTGTTCTCTGGAGAGGGGTGCCCAGGCCTCACCACTTTCTCCCGGGAACGCAGGACACCCATCTTTCCGAAGCGGACATGGAAAGGAGAGCACTGCAGGCTGCCATTGGGCTGGCGGATGACGATGATGTCAATACATCCTGACAGCGTGGCAGGGTTCAGTCCCTTGTAGAGCTCCTTCACGGTCACAAACACCTGGCCGGCCAACTGCCCCACGTAATTCATTGTCTGAACCTGAGAGACAAGACACATCGCACAAGTTCACGAGGGCAGTTAACATGGGACGGCCACTCAGAGCCTCCAGCTCGACGCTCAGCCATGCCAATGTCAACGATGTAGTGTACACATTCTTTCACACTTTGCCCTCGTCATGTTTCTGGAATGTTCTCCACAGTACCTGTGGGACAGCCCGTTTCTCCCACTCTATTGAGAAGCCCAATACCCTTCCCACCACTGGGTCCTGCACAGAGAGGCCCAGGAATCCTAATGGAGGGAACCACTGGGTTCAGTCCATGCATCCCAGCATGACTATGGGTACGGCGACCTAGCACATTTGTGTTTGGCAATGCTGTCACAAACACAACAAAGCTTGGGACCCTGACGCAAAGAGAGCACCTCACTTGTGTGACTGACAGGAGGGGTACCTCACAAGGGCCTGGAAACATGACAATGCAAGTATCTGTTTCGGTCTCCTCCTCATTCTTCCATCTCCTCAGTCCTTCTATGCCCTCTTCCATGAGTTCCCTGGGTCTCAGAGGAGGTGACACAGATGTCCCAGTGAGGGCTAAGCACTCAGCACCCACATAGCCTCAACACTTCCATGAGTTACGAGTCCCCACAGCTTGACCAGTGCTGACTGGAAGGTGTCCCTGACCTGGTCAGTTTGAAAGTTGCACCTGCCCATTTGGGTGAACATCAACTGTTCAGGGGCTGGCCAGATAGCTGCACTGGTAAGGGTACCAACAAGCCTGAAAACCTGAGATCATTCCCCAGGACCCACATGGAAGAATGGGAACCAACTCACACAGATTATCCTCTGACCACCATACATTCACAGTGGTACACACACACACACACACACACAGAGAGAGAGAGAGAGAGAGAGAGAGAGAGAGAGAGAGAGAGAGAGAGAGAGAGAGAGAGTAATGTCATGAACATGACTATTGACAAGGCAGTTTAATCATGTGTCCATTTGGCAAAACATCAGTAGTCGATTCCCCCAGAGGGCCTGTGACCTCCCTAGCCATAGCTCTTGACCACTTCTACAGTGTTAGGTAAACATTGTCTCCATGGAGCAACCTGCAGACCCAATCAGGAAGCAGTTGGCTTCCTCACAAACATGCCACTACTATACCATGGGCAAACCTCACACAACAGTTCAGTGTGTTGTAGCACACAGGTTGACTTCTCCTCCATGCTAGTTCAGTGTGACATCCACCGTGGCTTCCCCTGATCCCACCCTGTTCCCACGGAGTCTGTGCTAATCACTGAGCAACAACAGACCAAGCTCTTTGGCAGGGAAGCCCCAGCCCAGGCCAGCTAAGACCCACCTTGATACTTTCCACACTGTGGAACAAACACAGCTCTCTTTTCAAAGGGACTAAGAGATGGTTTACACTAAAGCAAATACAGGTGAGCATTGCCCGTAAGCACAGATTCCAGTCGCCTGGAATACAGGTCCTGGGAGCCACCCTTAGGAGACTTACATGAGATTGTAACTAACTGGACAAAGAAAGGCATACATCAAGATATCTGCCTAATAACTGGCAGGGGCCACATAAGCAGTGTATACAGTGAGAAAACTGCTACAGGTTTCAAGTCATATTCAATGGCACTGCTAATGTCTGAGCTGGTGGAAGCCAGCAGAATGAATACATTTGCAAGGTACTGATAGTCAAAAGGGGAGTTAGGTCAGTGCGGTGGTCTGAATGATACATCTCCCCATAGTCTGGGCATCTGGACAGTGGTCACCAGTTGGTGTCCGTTTTGGAGAGGTTTGGGCAATGGAGCCATGCTAGAGGTGCATTGCTGGGGGGCTTCGGGACGTAAAAGCCTCTCTCGCCTCCGGTTCACTCCCTCTGCTTCCTGCTTGCATCTGACAATGTGAACCCTCGAGCTTCCTGTTCCAGCCGCCTTACCTGTAGTTTGCTGCCATACTCCATACCGTGAGGACTCTGTTCCTCTAGGACCATAAACCAAAACAAACCCTTCCTTCTGTAAGTCGTCTCGGTCATGGTCTTTTATCACCGCAACAGTAAGGTAACTAATACAGCCAGACAAAGGTGTGGACCATGAATGGCTGCTAAGAATACTAAAAGCAGCCCAAGATAATTTAGCTCTAGACCAACAGGTTTCTAACTCTCCACAGTCAGTTAACAGTTTAGCCTCCTAGAATCTTTAATACTGGGTATGTCTCTTGGGGGAATCGGGGTGGGGGGACTTCAGTTTACATTGTGTAGGAAAGAAAGTTTCTCAAAGTTGGGGGGGGTTAGTTAATGGATCTCAGCATCCCAGCTTCCCAGATTCAAAAGAGTGAGCACAGGATCCCGGATGCCTGCAAGGTCCAATTCAAGTTCTAACGGGTCACAGATAAGGGGAGATAAAGACGTTTCCCCACTCGCCTTAGCATCCCAGAGAGGCACCCTTCATCACCGACACCCAGGGTTGCTCTCACCTGTGACCTCAAGAAAGCAGCCCTCCTAGGCACAGGAAGAGTCCAAGCTGGACGAAGTCCGATCGCTTTGTTGCTACAATAGGCTCTTTGAGAAAAGCCTAGAAATGGTAAGTCTTAGGCGGAGTTCCCCTGAGGACTCCCTCCCTGGGTTATTGTCCACTGTGTGGGCAAAAGGTGTGGCTAGTGTGTTTTCTTACTGCAAAGAGCCAGAAGCAGTTGTCTGCTGGAAACGTGTGCAAGTGTTAAAACGGTCTCTGTGTGGGCACCGGGACACTGTTCATACGCCCCACGGGAAAACAGTCTGCTTGGAGTTATCCTTGACATCTAGTCCCAAGGGCTGCCTAGACAACCCTCACTGAGCTTTTATACGTTTGCCTCCACAAACTCATGAAGCTAACTACCACTAACAAGAATATAGGAAGTAACTGCCAAGTAGGTGGGGGAGCCGGGGGCCTCGTGAGCTGTTGGTGGGAAGGGACAATGGTGTCGCTATCTGAAAAACCAACAGGCAATTCCAATGAAAAATAGAATTACCCTCCAATCCAGCAACTCAGTGTCAAGGTGTATCTTCCAATTAACTGGAATCAGGGCCATGAGAAAGTATTCACACACCCACAACATCCAAAAGGGAGACTCGACCCCGACATCCATCGACAGGGTGACAACATGTGGGAGGAGGATGGAAAGGTTATTCAGCCTTTCAAAAGGAGGAAAACTGTGGCGGCTGAAGAGACCGCTCGGAGGAGAGAGTGCGTGCTGTGTGAGAGTGAGGAGTAGGATTCCGATCCACAACACCCACATGAAGTACGTCCGGCGGGGTGGCACACCTGTTCCAAGAGCTTAGGAGGCAGGGAAGGGGATCCCCAAGGCAAGGTGGCTGGATAGACTTGCCCAATCAGTGAGCTCCGGGTTCATCAAGAGACTCTGGATAGACTTGCCCAATCAGTGAGCTCCGGGTTCATCAAGAGACTCTGGCCTCGCTCCTCAATGTGGGGAGAGGACGACACCCAACATCCACGATTGACCTCTCCATACATGTACACACACATACACACACTCTCCATACATGTACACACACACACATACACACATGCAAGAAAAGGAGGGGAGGAGACTCTCCAAGCTGCCACAGCCCAGGCAGGATAAGCCAGGAGGGCAGAGAGGGTGGTAAAAGAGCTATCTAGAGAAGACACCAAGGTAATGCCAGTAGGACAGCAGCTACGGGGGCTGGGAGGGGACAGAAATGTGGAGTGACCGACCTCTGGACGAAGCCTTTCTGTTCTGGAGGAGTGCAGTGATAAAATGACTTAAGGGTTACAGACGCAGCTCAGTTGGCGCAGCATTAGTCAGGCATGCACAAAGTCCTGGGTTTGAGCCCCAGCACTGCATACGACCAGGCACGATGGTGCAACCTGCAATCCCAGCACTGGGGAGGTAAAGGCAGGAAAATTAGAAGTTCAAAGCCCGTCTAGGTTTGGGGCCAGCCTGGGCTACATAGACACCCCCCCCACCTCCACCGCCTCAAAAATGTAAGTAAAAGACTTGGGGTGCATGCAGGGGGCAGCTCCACCCCAGGAGGCATGTGACTGACAGTGGCCTTTAAAAAGCCAGTGTAAGCCTGGTCCTCTCAGGTACCCACTGGGCTGAAATGAGGCAAGGCGGGCAGGCAGACAGGGATCTTTCTCTGCCCCGCCCCATACCAGGCTCTCTTCTCAATAAGCCCTGCACAAACTTATCTTTAAAAAAAGTTCTACCTGATCAAAGCACTAGACATAAAGTCCCAAATTTCACTTCCTTCAGCTGCACCACCATTGAAGAGTTCAAGGAAGACGATGCTAATTCGATTAGCCTGAAGATAAGCAACCAGACCAACCCAGCAGAGATGCCTCCCACAGGGCCAAGGGCCATAATCCCATTACTGGTGTTGCAACTTCCTTGAAAGCACGTGAGGAGGCAGAAAGGGAGAGGTTTGGTCTGAAGAAGAAAGTGCATGTCTGTAAAGTTCCAGGGTGAGGGGAGAAACCAGAGGGAACAAAGCGGGAACCCTGACAGAACACTGCCTCAGGTAGACCTGCTAAAAGACATGGCCTCCAGACTGCTTTCCAGTCGGCTGCGTTTTATCTTGAAACCTGGCAGGGTTGAACATGCTGGAGACAGGACTCTGTAGTCCCTGGCTCAAGCATATTTTGAAGGAGAACTTGACCAGTTAGTTCTTAGAGGATCCTCTGATCAGCCTGGAATTTTCTAGAGCAGTGGTGCCCAACCCTCCTGATGTTGTGACCCTTGAATACAGTTCCTTGTGTTGTGGTGAGCCCCAACCATAAAATTAATTTTGTTGCTGCTTCATAACTGTAATTTTGCTACTGACATGAATCGTAATATAAATCTCTGATATGCAGGATATCTGCTCTATGACCCCTCTTGTTTGACCACCCAAAGGGGTCATGACCCACAGGTTGAGAACCATGGCACTAAAGCAATCCAGGACTTTGTGGAGTCTCAAAATATGCAGACTTTTTTTTTCCTTAGATGTAGTTGGCTTGTAGGCTGGCATTCTGAA